CCTGGCAGGTGTGGAATGAGTCTGTTTTGCTTTATGTGCCAAACTTCCCTTCCAGGCCAATTTTCTGATGCCAATGGTGACATATTGCAACATGAAATAAAAGTATTCAGAAGAGTAATTTAGTCCTGAAATACAACCTCCAAGAACTACAGATATCTACCTCATCGGCCTCTCTTTGCCTGAACCCGAGCTGTCATCCTCCTTAAATTACTTTCTAAATCAGACATGCATCCATCCAACTTGAAGTCTGCATTGCTTTACTGACCTGAACTCTCCTAAAAGTCCACAACTCACAGACCAACCAGCTTCACTCTCTCAATATGCCACCCCCAGTGGCACATTACCCTAATAGATGACCCAAGTCCTGCCCACTTGGTTGATGTATAAGAGCAATACTTTGGAAAGAATCTGAGCTGATGGAGAGTTGAAACGACCTTAGGGAAAGTGCACCGTGACAGATCGCTCCAACAATGACACCAACTCACAGCTAAGTTCAGGTGAGTCTGGTTTAGCTTGGAGAGGCAGAGAAGCCTGCTAGCTTCCACTGGCCACACTCCCACGAATACAGGCCCTCGCCTGGATGTAAGCAAAGGCCTTGAAATATTGTTCTAACCTCAGAGCTATTTCCTGCTGTAAATTGCTTAAAGAGATTGCATGAGAACTTTCCTTCCAATTTTTTTTTTTTGCGGGGGGGGGGATGGAGAGTGTTTGGACCACACCCAGAAGTGCTCAGGGATCACTCTCAATGGTGCTCAGGGGACCATGCACCCCAATTAAATCAGGGTTGGCCATGTGCAAGGTAAGCATCTTAACTCCCAGACTATCTCTTCCACCTACCATTCATTAGCAAGCAAGCAAGCAAGCACACAAGAAAGCAGGAAAGAAAGCAAGAAAGCAAGCAAGCAAGAAAGACTAAACATTTTGGGAAGTCACGAATATGTGTGAAAAAAAAAAGCCATTTTCAAAGTAGTTTGCATGAATATCACTATGGTTACCAAAACTAGGGGCCACGCAGATGTCCACATACTGGACTCACTATGACATCAATTACCTACGCCCACATAGTCTCCAAGGCAACCAACTAAGGCCTTTCATTTTAAAGGGTTTTTTATTGAGTCACTGTGAATTACAAAAATTATTCCTGATTGAGTTCCAGGTACACGCCGTTCCAGCACCAATACATTCACCCGTTCCCACTTTCCTCTAACAGTGTCCCCGGTTTCCTTCTCACACCCCTGCCTGCTTCTGTGGCGGGTACTCCCCACCCACCCTGTTTTTCTTTTAGGCTGTGACTTACAATACTCTTCCTGATTAAGGCATCATGCATCATACCGCTTTAGCATTCCCTACACCCCTGCCCCACTGGCAAGCTTCCTATTGAAGACCAGTTCTCGTGTTCTTTGTTTCTATTGCCTTTGGGCACTTGTTATTCCTTACTATGCTTCTTTATAACCCACAAGTGAGAAAGATCACTGTGTCTATCTCTCTTCCTCTGACTAATTTCACTCAGCATGATACTCTCCAGATCCATCCATAGCAGCAAATTGCTTCATTTTTTTTCCCCTTACAAACAGTAGTTTGTAGAAAATTTGTAAGAGTTAAAGTTTGTAAGAATACTGAGTACATATAATCAATATTCCATTGAGTATGTATACCATAGTTTCTTCCTCCAGTCATCTGTTCCTGAGTGTTCGGGTTGTTTTCAGACTTTGACTAATGTGAATAGTGCTGCAATGAACATAGGAGTGCAGATGGCTTTTCGGCTCTATGCTTTGGGGCCCTTGGGGTATTATTTCCATGAGCGGGATTGCTGGGTTATATGGAAGTTCAATTCCTGTTTTTTTGAGCTGGACTAGTCAACATTCCCACCAACAGTGAGGGTTCCTTTTACCCACATTCATGCTAACATTGGTTTTTTTTTTTTTCTTTTTGACTGTGCAATCCCTGTGGGGTGAGGTGATATCTTACTGTTTTGATTTGCATTTCCCTGATAATTAGTGATATAGAGCATTTTTTGGCCCTTTGATGATCTTCTTTGAAGGAAGTTTCTGTTCATCTCTTCTCTCATTTTTTAATGGGATTGGATGCGTGTTATTTTTTTTTCCTTGTAAAGTCCTTAGTGCTTTTTCGATTTTGAACATTAATCCTTAATCTGATGAGGGTGGTGCAATGATCTTTCTATAGCTCAGGAGTCTACAGTTCACTGATCTCAGCAGGAATAGGGTGGAGTGACCCCCGGGAGCCACATTTCCCAAGTCCTCTTCCCAAATTCCCTTCCAGGAACATCCTGGGGACAAGCAGACACCTCCTTCAGCCAGTTAGCTGAGTAATGCTGGCTTCCAGAAGCTTTGCATCTCCTTTGTTCCGGCAGTTCCTGCTCTAGTTATCAGAAATGTGCATCCTTTTCCAGGGCAGGCTGGGAATTATATCATGGAAGAGCTCTTTCCATACTAACACTATTTGGGGGTGTCATTTGCTGAATGCAGGGCCTGGTGCATGACATGTGTTCTACCACAGAACTACATGCCTGGTCTTTTAAAAAATATTTTTATTCTGCAGTGGTGGTGGTGTATGTGTGGTGGGGGGTGGGGGAGGGAGTGCTAGGGGCAACTACCCTCATCCTGGCAGTACTGGGTCTAGGGCACTCAAAGGTGTTGATGGCATCAGTGATAAGGATCACCAGGGCACACTTATGAAGCACTAGGGGTTCGACTTGGGGCCTCTTGCATATGAGCTGTGTGTCAGCGCTTTGAGTTGATCTCCCTGCCTCCTGCCCCACCAAGACCAGTGTGAGACTGGGGCTCAACCCCAATGGCTGTAATGCTAGTAATTGGGAAGGATGGAGCCCAACATTGACCAAGTCTACACCGCAGGAGTCATGTCCACCTGCTCTCATAGAACATTTAGCTAGATCATGCGATGGGTCTGGCTCTTCTCTTGTGAACTAGGCGATGAGTGTGGAGACAGCCAGGAGCTCAGTCCTACAGCCAGTTAGCAGTCAAGCTGGAGATCTTACACCAAATGGTTGAAAAGTGCGTCAGACTCCAGGCTTGTGCATAGGGACAAGTCTACTCTAGAATGACCAGGCAAGGGACTCTCATGCACTGTCTCAGTCATAGTCACAGGACTTGCCATGGTATTTCCTACTGAGTTCCTACTGATTTCCTCGCAATTTGAGAAGAGATAACATCAAAGCTGAGTTGTGACACAACATTTGGGTCTGAATAAAATGATCAATAAAATCAAAAAACTTTAGACCAAAATTTAATTCTGAAGCTGACAAGATTTATTAATGGTATATTTTTATTGCTACACATGATTCTAATAGCAAATGTTTTTAGCCTTTCATTCAAGTAATAATAATGATGTCTTGAGCATAAATATATATGTATAAAATATTACAAAGTTTTCTAATGATGACATCCTGAGTACGAAGAAATAATGAACACCAAGATGAAAACTATCACACCAATATTTTAGGAAATTCTTCAAAGAAGTGCGACCTTTGGGGAAAATATCCTTATATAGACATCTACAATGTATAAAACTTGAGCACTGGCTTTAATGCATAAATATAAAAACTCCAGATGAACACAAGCTCAAAAGTCAAAGAGAAAAGCAAATGAAAGCAAATTTCTACATTGCACCATTTGAAAACACAGTACATGTTGGTCGTGCTGCAGTGACCAGTCCCTGGATTCTCTTCCCAACAAGAAAATCATCAAGTAATTTATTCATGGTACAAACAACCAGTTTTCACTATTCATGCCAAGATTGGAACAGTGAAAAGAATTACTCCCAGGTACTGCTTGATGTCACCCAGTCATAATTTTAAGTGTTTTTCAAATTACTTACATGTTTGCAGTGAAAGAACATTACATTATCTCCTTAATGTCAGATTTCTGAAGTGGAATATTATCTTTAGTACTTGATCATAAACAAAGGTTGTCTTAGTTTGGTTTTTCTTTGGGGAGGAGAAACACATGGTGATGCTCAGGGTCCCCCAGGAGTGCTTGGGAGAACCATGAGTCACCTGAGCTCCACGAAGACCTCCTGCAGCACAGGATGCTCCTAGCATTCTCTCCAGCCCTAAAGGTAGTGTTGAAACTCTGGGACAGAACCAGGATCCCAGGATCCTGCATCTTTATCCAGTCAAAGGCACACTCTTTCCTTATACCTTTAACAAAACAAGCATTATCTAGCAAAGATCCAGCCTCTCTCTGCTCTCTCCACCCCACTCAAAAGCTGGTGTGATTTTAGCAACACTTACTAGGTTTTAAATTATATCCTCACAGCCACCATTCTGGAACTTAGATAACACAGCATCCAATCAGGTCATTGAGTCATATTATTAATGTGTAATGAATAACTATTTATAATCTGGAAAGACTTTTTCTAAATTATAATATAAATATATATTCATGTGTATAATTTAGTCCATATTTACATTACAGTTGGGAAATCATGCCCTTGAACAGGAAGAAAGTTTAGGAGGATTTTACAATGCAAATTCAGCTTTCTTAGTTCAACTGACATTGATAATTTCACCATAAACCTTGTCCTTGCTATTTGCAGAGGAGGGAAAAGGCACGCTGTACTGTTATTCAATTTTCCGCTCCTGAGAAAAAGAACTATTTATAAACATCCTAATGAACTGACCTGACAGTATCTTCATGTTCGAGAGAAATGTTTCAAATGTAAAGCAGTGAAAAAATCGAGAAATACCATTACTTGGTTTTATTCCTCATTTCCGCTTTCCTTCGGTTGCACCCAGGTTTCAACATGGAGAGAATCAGAGAAAATGGCAGAAAGACTTCTAGAGTAACTCCCCGGGCACTTCGGAACTGGGATCCACCGCATCCCCCCGGCAGCCCTGGACTCTGACACAGTCACACTCCTTGTTGCTTCTTCACATCCTCTTCCTATGGAATGGTGGGCTCACCCTAGGGCTCCTTCATGGCTGGTCCTGGTCGTTAAAGTGCCTCCCCTGCCCACCGTGTTCACACCCACTGGATCCTCCTGGGGGTACAGTCCTCTGAGCTCTCAGCACCCTCCAGCCCTGGCGTCCAGTCAGTCGTGCCTTGGCCAGCGCGGCCCAGCCCCGTCGGTGGGCCTCCCTCTCTGCTCTTCTCCAGACCAGGTTCCCACAGATCCGGACTCAGTTTGGAGCCAAAGCAGAAAATGAGGGACTTGGCGACAGACTCCAGGTCCTGAAGGCCAAGGCGAGGGATTGTCTCCTGGCTGCCGTCAGCAGAGGCTGCATGGGCGCCAAGGGCAGCATGTAACCCCCTGGCCAAGCTGCAGAGATCATTGACACTGCTCTTGAAGAGAGGCACATCACCAGGGCATCCTGTGTGAGGAGAAAAACAAGTTCACTGGCCTTCCCATTGCCCGTCAGTGCTTGCTGGCTTCTAAGTCAGTGACTTTATGAGACAATTCTGAAGCGTTTAATATTATCCCACTAGAATGTCAACTCGACCAGTCTTTCGGGAAGACAATATGGACATTCCTCAAAAAACTCCCTCCCATTTGACTCAGCAATCCTTTTCCTAGGAATATATCTCAAGGACCCAAAAGCACAATGCAGAAAAGATAGCTACATACATATGTTCATTGCAGCACTACTCCTAACCAATCTGGAAACAACCCAAATGCCCTCAGACAGATGACTGGATAAACTATGATACATCTGCATAATGGAATACTATGCAGTCTTAAGAAAAGATAAAGTTATGCAATTTTGCTGAAACATGGATGGATCTGGAGAGTATCATGTTGAGTGAAACTAGCCAGAGGGAGAGGGGCAGATGCTGAATGACCTCTCTCCTACGCGCGGTACAAAGAAACTCCACAGGGAACTATCAAAGGCCCAATGCTGATAGAAATAAAGACTAGGACTGGTCTTCACTAGGAAGCTTGGCACTGGCTTAAGGGTGAGGGGTATAAGTTAGAGAAGGGCACACTAGAACAATGGAGGAGGGAAAGAGCCTGCCACAGAGGCAGGCTGGGGGGGGCGGTGTGGGAGGGAAACTGGGAACATTGGTGGAAGGCAGTGGGCACTGGTGAAGGGATTGGCATTGGAAAAGTATTTGCCTGAACTAATCATATCTTTTTTACTTTGTAATTCATAGTGATTCAATTAAAAAAATTTTTTAACTGAAAAATTTAAAAATAGATTATCCTCAGAGACACACACAGAAATCTTGAACCCAAGCAACTTGTGGCAGAGATTGCCCAGGACTTTGCAATAGGCCTTCTCCTCTCGGCCACTTAGACTAGGGCAGGCGCCTATCTCCTCCTGCCCTCTAAGAGCTCCAGTGGTCGCCATTTCCTAGAAGCCAGCAAGAAGCACCAGGTACGAGTCATGGTGATGGTAAATCCCAAATCCCACGGGACAAGGGAGGATTGGGCAGTCCTTCTCCCCACCCCAATAGGACACCAAGATGATGCCACATCTGACCACTGTCTACTTAAGCTCCCACATGGCCACGACCCAGAGACACACACAGAAATCTCGGACCTGAGCAACTTGCAGTAGAGACGGCCCAGAAATTTGCAATAGGCCTTCTCTGCTGGATCGCTCCAGACAGGAGCAGGTGCTGTCGTACTGCCTGCCTTCTAAGAGTTCCAGTGGTCACCATTTTCTAGAAGCCAGCAAGAAGCACCAGCTCCCACGTAGCCACGATCCAGAGACACACGCAAGAATTTTGAACCCGAGCAGCTTGCGGCAGTGATTTCTTCAGACCCTAATTATTAAAATCTTAGAATTCCTAGAGCACGCGGCCACAACAGTGGCTGCATGACATTATATTGTATCCATAACAAGCAATACAAAACACATTGTCTAGCAGTTGTATTTCTGGCAGGTATGAGAGGTGTAGGACTGGTCTCGAAATATCGAAGGTAACTAAAGTAGAGAAAGAATACTTTGCAAATTGTCCACCACACGGGCAGGGGGAGGTGTGGAACGGGGAGGTAGGGGGGAATACTGGGGATTTTGGTGGTGGAAAATGTGCACTGGTGAAGGGATGGGTGTTTGATGACCATATGATCGAAGTTCAAACATGAAATTTTTGTTACTGTATCTCACAGTGAATTAATAAAAAATGAAAAAAAGGGAAAAAAATAGATCATCCCACTGATTAGGGCCTAACTTTTTAGGTAAAGAGGCTTAGGTGTAATAAATGGGAACTCAAAGATGCAAATTTCTGTACTGGTAATAAAGGTCAGTGAAGAAGCATGCTATGCTTCAGATAGATTAGAGGGGGGAAAAATTCTGAGTCCTTCAACTCTAAAATTCTGATTGACTACAAATCCCACCGGGGCTCCATACCTCTTAGCGCAGACATGGTCATTTGAACAGTTTGCTCTAAGCACTGTTTTAACTTCAGGAATTCGGAGGCAATGTTAGCCATCTTTTTCAAATCTTGGTAACCAGAATCTTCCTCTTGTACTTGAGTTCTGAAACTTTTCTGTGAAAATGAAGTTAATGTTTTTCTAACTGCATGTAATGGGACCCAGGGCAATAAGGCTTAGTCAATGCTGGACATTGACCTTCAAGAGAGCTAGAGTTCCGTCTTCGATCTGTGCTTAGTTCTATTTTGGGGGGAGGATGGTGGTCTGGGCCATACCCAGTGGTGCTCAGGGCTCACTTCTGGCTCTGTGCTCAAGTATCTTTATGGGATGCCAGGGATGGAATCCAGGTCACTGTGTGCAAGTCAAGTGCCCTTCCTGCTGCACTGCTGTGAGTGACCCCGAGCATGGAGCCAGGAGTAGCCTCCAAGTACCCCTGGGTTTGTCCCTCAAAAATGTAAATAATTTCTCCCATTCACTGATGCTTTAAAATCTCTCTGCAGATTGTTGAACACAGAACACAGTTGGGTGGCCGGGGGGGGGGGGGGGGGGGGGAGTCTGCCATAACTATTTCAGCAAAAATGATGGTTACTAAGCCATTAGGAGGAAGATAGATAAAATACATTAATATGAATCAACTTGGGGCCAGAGCGCTAATACAGCAGGTAGGGTGTTTGCCTTGCATGCAGCCAACCTGGGTTCAATCCCTGGCATGGCATATGGCCCCCCAAGGACCACCAGGAGTAATTCCTGAGTGCAGAGCCAGAAGTAACCCCTGAGCATTGCTGGGTGTGACCCAAAAAGCAAAAAAAGGAAAAAACAAAAAAAGAAGAAGAATCAACTTCTAAGCATTAGCTTGTCCCTGCTAAAACTAGTAAGCTGTAATGTCCGGGAGGGAGGAATGAAGCCACACTACCATGTGGGCTTCAATTCAACATGCACAAAGGAGGTCTATGGCTGAGTATAAACATGAAACAAGGGCCTGGGGGTGGGAGAGGGGGAACGCTTGGCGGGGGAGGCCTGTGCACACATGAGGCCCTGGGTTTGGCTCCCAGCACTGCCCCCTCTCCCAAATAACAAAATCCAAACAGCTCTACTTGAACCAAATGCAATTATTAAAAAAATGGATTTTAAGAAATTTATTCCTCTTACCATTTTCCACTCAGCAAAGATGCTTTCCAGAGATCCAATCAATCCTGTGGCGTGAATGCACATCTGTTTGGAAGCCTGGAAGATATTTTATCCTTTTAAACAATCATTGCAGAAATATTTTACTGTACAAGGGTATTAAAATGTTATTAAGCAAATAACATTTGGAAGGATCAAATCCTAGGACTGTGAGAACAGACAGGATAAGGAGAAGAATCTGCTAAAGTTTAGCAGTGGGGGGGTCTCGGACACTTTGATGGTTGTGGGATGCACCTATGTATATCAAAACAATAAACACGGGGTTGAAATGATAATAAAGAACATCAGGAGGTTGCCTTGCATATGGCAGCCCAGATTTGATCCCTAGCACCCCATGTGGTCTCCCAGGAGTAAGCCCAACCAACACTACAAAAAAAAAAAAAGAAAGAAAGAAGTCATAAACATGAACACGATTGTAGCCATGAAGCCTAAACTGTAAAATTAATTTTTAAAGGAAAAAAAAATTGAACTCTGGCCTATAAATCAGAGAATAGGGTTCTTTTTCTGGAACTGCAATTCACCAGTTAAAGTACTAAGGTAAAGTAAACAGAACTTCTTTCCAGACAAACTGCCTAGTGATGCCTACATTTGTGATGGGTATCCTCTGAGATTTGTTACAATGATAGCATTTGTTTAAAAAATATTTGTAGTAATGAAGTGGAAGTGACTTTCATTGGAAAGTCACTTTCCTTGGAAGTGACTGATATCTTCAGCAAATATTATTATTTGAGGTCTCTATGTATGCATTTTTCTAGTTTTATTGATCTATGATGGAAAGATAAGATTGTGTTAGTTGGAAGGAGCATAATTGAGTGTACTATGACATAATCACAACAAAGCCAACATTCATTATCTCACAGAACTGCAAAACATTTTCACCCTATAGTGAAGTGTTTTTTTCTTTTTGTTTATCATAATTTCTATTTGAAGCACAGGACTTACAGTCCTGTGATCTGTAGGGTTTCATACATGTACCATTCCATACCATGCTAACATGACCAGGTTCCCTCCACCATTGCAGGATCCCTTCCCAGCCCCCATCTCCACCCTTGTTAAGTTTTGTCCTGTAGTCCCCAATAGCAAAACCACCCAAGGCAAATTAAAATAAACAAATGCATAAAACCAGTTCTTTGAGCTAAACTTGTTTTTTTGTTTTGGGCCACACCTGGTGATGCTCAGGGCTTACTTCTCACTCTGCACTCAGCAACCTCTCCTGGCAGTTCTCCGGGGACCATATGGAATGCTCGAGATCAAACCCGGGTCGGCAACATGCAAGGCAAGCATCCTACCTGCAATACTATCTCTCCAACCTCTGAGCTAAACTATTTTTTAGAAAGCCAATTTGCCTACGGCATGGTAACAGATAGCACCTTCTTTTAATCCTCTTACCTCGTTCTGGGCACACTGTCTTGAGAGAATGTGTTGAAATTCTTTAACTCTTTCTAGTGTAGAATCTAAAAGGATCTTCATTCCTAAGACTACACCATTACAAATAGCTTCCATGAACTCCTCCTAGAAAGTTTTTACGTTAAAACAAAAAATATCAAATATAAAGTTATAATTTCTGCTTTTTTATGGCTAATACTCTAAGTTTATTAAAATCCAGTAACTATGGAATCAGAACTAGAAGCCTCTAAGGAAAGAAAACGGTCCAATCTGTTGCTTGGTTCCATGTATAACATGTTGTAACAATGCTCATTAGCTTAGGCTGGATTCTGCATTGTGGAGATGCAGAATGCTCGAACACAATACTGTTTCCAAGAGCATGAAGGAGTCAAGCTAGCAAGTGTTTCAGAATTACGGAGTGTTCGTTCTGTGGTGAGAGCATCAGCTATGCCAAAATGAGGATACAATAGGTTGGGCAAGGTTCCAGTTCTCTAAACGAGACGAGATGGAAGCAAGGTTAAATCTTGTTAAACTTGAAAAGTAGGAGCTATTTTCTTTCTCTCTTTTTTTGTAGTAATTTTTTAAATTTATTTTTAAATTTTTTGTTTAATTTATTTATCTATGTGTGTTTGTTTTTGAACCACACCCAGTGATGCTAGGGGTTATTCCTGGCTCTAGGCTCAGAAATCACTCCTAGAGAGCTGCGGGGGACCATATGAGATGCCGGGGATCAAGCCAGGGTGAGTTGCATGCAAACCAAGTGCCCAACCTGCTCTCTGACCCCAGCAGGAGCTATTTTCAAATTAAAACTTTGCTCCATTCCACAATGCCATTTTCAGAAGTCTCTATCCTCAACTTGACTTCTTCAAAGGGTCGTTCCAGGTCAGCGTCACTCAGTTACCTGCACAGCAGTGGCCTTGCCACTGCTATCCAGAAAGTGCAGCTTGCTCCCTGTCAGAACTGCAAGCTGCCCCACGTGGTTTACAGTTTGTAAAACAATCTCCATGACTTTGGTTTGAGCTTCCTTCACCATTGATGAAATCTCCGAGGAGCATCCCTATAAAATAAAAATGGACCATGAGGGGCCGGGCAATAGTACAGCGGGCAGGGCAATTGCCTTTATGGGCGGGGGGGGGGGGGGGGGGGGGGGGGGGAGTCAAAAGGAGATGGGGAGGGACAGGGATGTGGGGGCCAACACATGCCCTGCGGAGTCCTTGCCCACCTTCCGGGCAGGCCCACTAGAGTGACTCTCCCAGATGTGTCTCCCCAGCTCTCTGGGCTGGGATGGTGGTATTGGTACCAGGGAAGGCTTATTCCCACACTGCAGTCATCAGGTCTCCTCTGACAGCGTCACCTCAGTCTCTCCCGAGCACAGTGTGAGTCCCACCCCAAGTCACCTGCTCTCAGCACTCAACACTTTCTGCAACATGGGGCTACAGGCTTCAGTTCTCATGCGAAGGTCAAGTTCTTTCAAAAGAACCAGCGACTTGGAGCTAAAACGATAGCACAGTGGGTAGGGCATTTGCCTCGCATGCAGCCAACCCGGGTTCGATTCCCAGCATCCCATATCGTCCCCTGAGCACCTCCAGGAGTAATTCCTGAGTGCAGAGCCAGGAGTAGCCCCTGAGCATCACCGGGTGTGACCCAAAAAGCAAAATTAATTAATAATAAATAATCAATTAATAAATAATTAATTAAATAAAGAGCTAGTGACTCTCACAGGCACTTTTTAGGGGGGGTTGCTGAGCTGAGGATGGAACCCAGGGCCTCGTGCAAGACAAATACGTGCCCCCTGAGAGACACACCTGCCTAATCGGTACGTGGTTAGACTATCATCCCACTGGACCTTCAGAGCAGTGGGCCTATGCCAGCTCGGCACAGCTCTTTCTATCTTCTGAGCGAGAGAACAGGAGATGCAGAAGGTGAAGCACTGGGGTCTAAGAGACACTACAGGGGGAAGGCGCTGGCCTTGCATGCCGCCAACCCAGGTTTGATCCCTGGCAATGTAGAGAACCGCCCCCAGCCCCACCAGGAGTGACCCTGCGTGCAGAGACAGTAGTGATCCTTGAGCACAGCCTGGTGTGGTTCCAAAACAAAACAAAAAATTCCATGTGTTCAAGGACATACAACTCAATGAGCATGGCACCAGACAATGGATTCGCAAATACCGAAGCTTTCTGACTGTCCCTGTCCTGCTCATGGAGTCTCAGATCCAGCCAGAGCAGTTGGACTTGCAGCTTCCCCACCGATTCAACTCCCCCAAGCCCCTTTTCAAGTCAGAGCTGCAAGTCTGTGCTCCAGCTTCAGACGTGCACAGCCAGTCACGTGTGCATCCACATCCTCAGCCCTTGTACCAGCCACATCACCCATACTAGGCAGCCACCCACCCCCCTCTCTCCTCATCGCCTATATGCAGAGAATCTCATTCGGGAGATCCGTCCCCACAAACTGGTCATTTGGTTAAGTATCTGACTGAGGAGCCTCGGGGTTCAAAATCAGACACCTCACCCCCTATCTGTCCAGCATGCACTGTCCTTGCAGTGGGACCCTTGGTGAATGAACCGACATGTTGAACTATGGGGCGGGGGTGTAAAGGGTTATCAGAGCAGTGCTTGACCAGGTCTTGGGTAGACCCAGAAAGCCTTCCTCTATAGAGAAGAAAAATGGACATTTACAGTAAATGTCTGTGGCCAGGGGTGTAGCTCAAGTGGCAGAGCACAAGCTAACACAGCAACGCCCGAGTCCACCTCTGACGTGAGGCATAGCTCCCCCTACACCCCTGTGACACCACTGGGAGTGGCTCCAGTGAAAAGACAAATCAGTGCCAGACGTCAGTTTGACTTGTTAGATCAATGATATTAAGAAAGGGCTGTCAAGACGCTGGAGAGATAGTAGAGCGGGGCTCGTACCTATCTTGCACATGGCCAACCCAGGTTCAATCTCTGACACTCCAGAGGGCCCCCTGAGTCCCACTAGGAGAGATCCCTGGGTGCAGGGCCAGGAGAAAGACCTGAGCACCACCGGTGTGACACCAAACCCCAAACATCCCTCACAAACACATACCCCAAAAACAGAAAAGAAAAAAATAATTTCCCAACAAGACTTGTGGCTAGTTTTAGTCAGGTCATGAAATTCTGGCTAAAGATTTAGAAACAGAAATGTCATATGGCAATTTCCAGAAACTTCAAAGAAGCACATTTTCAGCTTGGGATGTGGCACAGTGTCAAAATGTGTGTTTTGTATGCAGGAGACTTGGGTTTGATCCCCTACACAGAAAGAGAAATAAATGAAAAAACTAGGAAAGCATTAGGGGTGCTCTCAGAGCAGAGCATGCTAGCTCCCACCCAAAGCCAACCCTGGAAGCTGCTCCCACATCCCTGGGCTGCTGCCATGCATCTGGCAGAACTCCATAGCCTCAGGACTGAGCCTCATAGGGGAGCCTGATGTGCTGAAAACTTTAGGTACACAGGGCCTTATGGCTGAAAACTCCAGGCCTTCTCAGAGTTCAAATTTTAACTCTAGCCCAGCTGCTCAGGTAAAATTCTGGATTTTCTGGAGCATGTGGCCACAAATGCAGCCACACTGACATCTCCATCATCTACAAAACTGACATCCCAGTAGTAGATGAATGGACTGTAATGTAGAAAACAACCAATCGGGACTGACAAATATATTAACACAGAAGATTAGCATGCAGCCAACCACTTAGTAAACCCTCAGACTTAACGTCCCCTTGGTGAGATACAACTTTCACAAATTTTCCTCAGTGGAAACATATTTTGATAATTTTGTAAGCCATTTAGGGGTAACAAGCAATATAAAATAAATTACTGCCAACAGTGAAGGAGTGTCCCTTTCTCACCACATCCGCGTCAGCACTGGTTGCTTTTGTTCTTGCGGTTTTTTTTTTTTTTTTTTGCTTTTTTGGGTCACACCCAGCGATGCACAGGGGTTTCTCCTGGTTCATGCACTCAGGAATTACTCCTGGCCATGCTTGGGGGACCATATGGGATGCTGGGAATCGAACCCGGGTTGGCCGCGTGCAAGGCAAATGCCCTACCTGCTGTGCTATCACTCCGGACGATTCTCAAAAAATTAGAAATTGAGCTCCCATTTCATCCAGCAATACCACTCCTGGGAATATATCCCAGAGAGGCAAAAAAGTATAGTCGAAGTGACATCTGCAATTGTCTGTTTATTGCAGCACTCTTTACAATAGCCAGAATCTGGAAAAAACCTGAGTGCCCGAGAACAGATGACTGGTTAAAGAAACTTTGGTACATTTACACAATGGAGTACTATGTAGCTGTTAGAAAAGACGAAGTCACAAAATTTACATACAAGTGGTACTACATGGAAAGCGAAATGACTCAGAAAGAAAGGAATAGACATAGAAAGATTGCATTCATCTAGGGAACATAAAGTAACAAAATAGGAGACTAACACCCAAGAATGGCTGAGATTAGTACCAGGAATTTTACTCCATGGCTTGGAGGCCAACCACACATACTAGGGGAAAAGGGAGCTCAGATAAAGAGGGGAACACCAAATAAAGGTGTTGGGAGGATCCTCCCAGGATGGGAGAAGCATGCGGAAAGTAGACTATAGACTAAACATGATTGTCACCCATTGCCTCTTTTGCAAACCACAACACCCAATAAGAGAGAGAGAACAAAAGGGAATGCCCTGCCACAGAGGCAGGGTGAGATGGGGGGATGGGGGGTGGGAGGGATACTGGGATCCGTGGTGGTGGGAAATGGGCACTGGTGGAGGGATGGGTATTTGATCATTGTATAATTGAAACCCAAGCACAAAAATGTGTAAGTCTGCAACTGTAGCTCATGATGTCTCACTATTAAAAAATTTTTTAATAAAAATAAATAAATAAATAAAGATGAAAAAAATAAATAAATTACTGCTGGGCTGGAGCAATAGCACAGTGGGTAGGGCGTCTGCCTTGCACGCAGCCAACATGGCCGACCCGAGTTCGATTCCTCCCCCCCTCTCGAAGAGCCCGGCAAGCTACCGAGAGTATTCGATATGCCAGACACAGTAACAACAAAGTCTCCAATGGAGACGTTACTGGGCCCGCTCGAGCAAATCGATGATCAACGGGAGGGCCTTTACTTTACTTACTTTTAGTCTGCTACTGGGCTAGCTTGAGGAATGGTTGGGAAAATGAAGACAATGGTGGAGGGAAGGTACGGTCCCCTGAACACTGCCAGGAGTAATTTCTGAGTACAGAGCCAGGAGTATCCCCTGTGCATTGCCAGGTGTGATCCAAAAAGCAAAAAAAAAAAAAAAAAAAAAAAAAAAAAAAAAAAAAAGAAAGAAAGAAAGTAAGCTTTCCTCCCTCTCCCCCCTCACACTCTGGCCTTCCCAAAATATTCCCATTCCTGACTTTGAGGTCATCAGGTGTGTGACCCAGGCAGCAAGCCCTCCCCAGGCTGGAAGCAGAAACAGACTCTGCCTCTTGTGCCCAGGGTCAGCTTGTTGTGACTGTTAGGAGCACAAACTCTGGGTCCAACTCCAACCCCCTCATTCGCTGGTGCTTTCATGGAGAATGGGCTCCTCTCTGCTTGGGACATATTTCTGGACCTATAAAAGGGTGCAGGTCACAGCACCATCACTGGGAACCATGATGTGAGTGACTAGGGAGCTAGTAGAGTCAAATCACTCAAAACCCTCCCTGCCTGGTCTGCTCCACAGGAAGCTGCGTCAAGTCTTGGCTCCGTAACTCAGTATGGACATTCAGAGTTTTGGAACAGAACTCACCTTGGCAAATGCTACGGATCAAACTGGAGGGCCAACTGCAGAAAGTCAATAATAAGCCCTTACTGAAATAAATTCTCCCAATGATAACCAGTAAGTCAAGTTACCTGCAAAAACAACTGCAAGTAGCCTCCTATTTTTTTGATTTCCTGTCTCAAGTCATCTTCCAGTCTTGCTGGGTTACAACAAGGAGAGATGCCATCCAGCCAGTGTGGCACCAGCACCGAGAGCTGCCCGAAAGCACACGTGACTTGGAGAGTAAGTGACTGGGTTGCTCGATCAGAAAATACTTTGAAAGAAGAAACAAAATGTCTGAAAGAAATAATCTCCAAAGAAGGCATGCACATGATCACAACCAAAAGGCTGTAACACAATCAGAAAATGGATACATAGAATGGAACAAATGAATGGATGGGGGAAATGGTACAAAATAAAGCATAAATCAAAGTTGAATCGTTAAAAAAAAACATTAAGGGTGCTTACAATTCTCTTGACTTTCTTCATCTTGTTCTTCGTAAGCTTTCAAAATGGCAAAGAGCCCATTATAAATTTTAAGAAAACTACTCAGCAGGCTGTCTGCCATGGTTTTTTCTTCATTGTAATTCTGTTCAAAAAGATCTAGTGATGAACATATCAATTCTTTGCAAATTCCAGGAATTAACGATTCTGTTGCATTTGGATAGATGGCACTTGATATCTCCATTACTCCTGTAACAATAGAATACATAAGTAAAATGAAATTCTTACTCCAATATATTCTATGATTATACCTCAAAGTAAAAATAATTCCATAATGGGGTCAATTAATACCTCAAGGGCATCAATCCATAGATTAGTATTTCCTCAAAAGCCATATAGATAAAAAAGAGATCAAATATCACATGTAACCACTGTTTACTTTCATTCTTTATTTACTTTTTGACAATAGCTAAGGAACTGTGAGTTGTTGAAAACAATGGCAACTGCATAAATAAAATAAAAATATGTATGACAGAATTAAAATTAATTCATAAATTGGAAAAAAAGACAATAATAGAGCAAACTATATGAAGAGAAATGCCTGGTAATTCTATTCTGTAAAATCCATTTCTGGGTCTCTATGCTCAAAGCGGGCTGCCAGTGTAGAATGTCCAGAGCTCTCCACACAATTTTGTTTTGGGCCACCCCTGGCAGTGCTTGGGGCTTACTCCTGGTTCTGTGCTCAGGGATTATTCCTCGTAGACTCAGGAGACCATATGTGATGCTGGGGATTGAACCCAGGTCTCTGTGTACAAGGCAAACAACCTACCCATTATACTATCTCTCTGGCCCCTATAGCCTTCTCTTTAAACATGCTTCAGGGACTGGAGCGATAGCACAGCGGGGAGGGCGTTTGCCTTGCACGCAGCTGACCCAGGTTCGATCCCCAGCATCCCATATGGTCCCCCGAGCACTGCCAGGAGTGATTCCTGAGTGCAAAGCCAGGAGTAACCCCTGAGCATCTTTGTTGTGACCCAGAAAGAAAAAAATAAATAAGTAAACATGCTTCAAATTAACTCTGGATTCAATGATATGTGCATATTGCACAATATTCAGAAGGATCCCATGGCTACAGGAAAAAGAAAGTGATCCTTCCTGGACAGTCCCCTCCCCACGTCCCCTGGGACTGTGGCACTGTAAGGTCTGGGGATAGTTCTCCAGAGATATCATACCCATTTTCAGCACAAATGTCTATTTTGTCTTTTTTTCCCCTCCACACACAAATAACAAAATATGTTTTCCATTTTGCTTCTCATGATGGGGGCAGGTTGGACCACACCTGTAGCATAGGGAGGTTACTCTTGGTGGTGCTTAGGGACCATGAGGTGCTGGAGATCAAACCTGAGCTTTCTTCATGCAAAGCACGTGCTTAGCCCGTGGAACTTTATCACACCAGCCCAATATTATTATTATTATTATTATTATTATTATTATTGTGCAGCGGGGGTGGGCCATTCCTGGAAGTGCTCAGGAATCACTCCTGATAGTGCACAGGGGACCATATGGGGTGCCAGGGATCAAACCAGGATAAGCCGCATGCAAGGCAAGTGCCCTACCTGCTGTACTATCACTCCGGCCCCCACTTTTTTTTTTAACTGATAGAAAATGGTATTTGTGTTCATTTCTGTGAACATGTATGTCTCACACTTTAGAATTCACCTCTCCACTAAAGGATTTTTATAGTGCCATGGAGAGAACTCAGGGCCTCACACAAGCAAGGCCAGTGCTCTGCCACTGAACTACTTTCCCAGAACCTGCTAAAAGTTCAGAAAACAAATCAGAATTTCCAAAGAGGATCCCCGCCCCCCACCCCCATGCCCCAATTCATCCTTCTAGCTTAACAAAGAAAAGGGAAGCTTCTAGGACATGGAAAGGATTTGTACAAGAACATGAAAAATAAAGGCAGGGAGATAGTTGCAAGGGGAAGCCCCAGGTTCCATCCCCAGTAATGCATGGTCTCCTGAGCACCACTGGGAGTGATGTCTGAGTGCTAAACGAGAGAGAGACAGAGACAGAGACAGAGACAGAGACACACACACAGAGAGACAGAGAGAGAGCCATAGAGAGACAGAGACAGAGAAAAGAGAGAGGAGAGAGAGGACAAAGAGAAAGAGACAGAGACAGAGACCATGAAACAAGGGAGTGCTTTTCTCAGCACACAAGAAAATTTGATGCAAGGGGCTGGAGTAACAGTACAGTAGATAAGGTGTCTGCCTTGCACATGGCTGACCCAGGTTTGATCACTGGCATCCTATATGGACCCCAAGCCCTGCCAAGAGTGAGCCTGACTGCAAAGCCAGAATGAGCCCTGAGCATCACCAGGTGTGGCCCCAAGACAGAACAAAACAAATTGATGCAAAAAATACCTGATGAATGTGAAGAACCATTAATCTGAATCGGGTGGGCTTGTACATTATGTAAACAACAAGAAATTCTTCTGTTCTTCATCAAACTCCTACTCCTGGAAAACAACAAGCCATGAAACTAGCAGCTGTAGCAGCTCTTTGGCATCAAAACCATCTCCATTCTCTAGAGCAACTCAGAACACATTCAGCAATGATTCAATTTGCTCACTTCTGTGGGCAGAGTTTGCTACGTACAGGCGTTGTCTCAAGCTTGCAGTTGATCAAACGAGACAAACATTTCCAGGGTCCAGCTACGGAGAGGTTTGCAGACTGTGGGGGAGCAGGGCGGGCATCGTTCTGGACTCACGAGTTTCGTACAAAGGGGATGGGGAGACCCAGGCAAGCACTGCTAGGAAGTAGTGCACACCGGGAGAACAGGCGCAGTGGTTAGCACTCGCACCCTGAGTGGGAATGGGGGTCAGAGGGGGAGGGGTCAGGGCCCATGCAGGGCAGGCCCTGTATGCCAACAAAGGAAGCTCAGATTTTCTTTTTTTTTATTAAGCAAGTTTCACTGGATCACCGTGAGATACAGCTACAAACTTTCATGACTGCGTTTCATTTGAACAATGCTCTAGCACCCATCCCTCCGCCGGTGCACATTTTCCACCACCATTGTTCCCAGTGTCCCACCTGCCACCCCCACCCTACCCTACTCCCTGCCACTGTGGGAGGTACAGTCCTTCTTTGGGCATTGTGATTTGTGATACAGATACTAAGAGGTCTTCGTGTTTGTTCCTTGGTTTACTTTCAGCACACATCTCCCAGCCTGCACGGTCCCTCCAATCATCATTTACTTAGTGGTCCCCTCTCCATCCCAACTGTCTTTTCCCCCAGCACGTGGGACCGGAGAAGCTCAGATCTGATCCTGGGAAGGATCTTCAGCAGGGAAAGAAATAATCCACGTCAAACTTCAATAAATATCTCCAGCATGAAAGGAGGAAAGGATCCTATTTCAGCTGCTGTTTCCCCACAGCCTATAAAAAAACCTTCAGACCTTTCCTTGCGTGTGACTGGCTATTTATCTTCTGGGGGGAGGGGGGAGGAGTGAAGGGGGGGAAATACAGGCTCCTGCTTCCTGACTGCAAAAAGTCATTCTACTACCATACCACCCTCCACCCATCATGGCCTGAAGCTCTAACTCCCAGTGGCAGCTGAGTCTACGAAAACATGTGAGCTGTGGCCTAGATAAAAATCCAGGGGATCCCTGGAAGTCTTTTTCCCAATGAACTGTGGGTAGTATTTCCAAAGGGTTTCACACACTATTCCCCTCCACCCACACCACGCTCCTGCCCACTGATTCCAAGAAGAAAGCTGGAATATGAGGGGTAACCAGGAGAGAAAGTATCAGTTCTCAGAGGTGTTGATACTGAGGTATGAAAGAAAAGGACGCATTAATCCTAGTCTCACTATCGAAAACTTGTCTTCGATCTCACTGTAGTTGAACCAGACTTAAACACAAAGAAAAACGCTTGTCACATTCTCGTCACAGAAGTTTTACTTAACCTCAGGGGAAATGTTACTATTAACTGTCCAGGGCTCAGCTCAGAATTTATGGGCAGCTCAAACAGTCTATTTTATTGCAGAACGACTGTGGCATCTCATTGCTTGGTAGCTGTTCCATAATTAAGAATCTGTCAGCATTTCCATTACCCACAGGCGTTCTCAGAGTTTGCCATTCCGTCATAAACATTCTTACAAGGCTGAAACTTCATATACAAGGTCTCTAAGCACGAGTAATTCATCTCTCTCTCTCCCCCCCTCTCTCTCTTACAAATTATGATACTTTTTATGAAATTCTCAAAAACATCTCTGCCAAGTGGAAACACCTCACTTCAAAATCTTGGGAAGACGCTGAGAAGTTTTGATGTTTCGGTAACAAAACTATTGCTGCCTGATTACTAACCAGAAAAGCCAACAGAAGTAACCTGTACATTGCCAACTTTTAATAAGGCAAAAATGAACACTTTTAAGCGCATGGGCACACACAGAGTGTGTATCTGTTTATTAAAAAAAAAATGTAATTCTAGAGTCTAACGCTGTCTATGGAGCCCCCTCTGAGGAACCTGTAGCTCTGGTCTGGGAGGTTTATGTTATGCCAAATGGACTTGAGCATCCTAAGTCCTAACTATCAACTTCCACACAGGGACAATCAACATGCCATATTAATGCCAGAGCCCAACTCCATTTTAGAGTCCTCAAGCAAAATCACCTGCCAGTTATCTCCAAATGTCTATTGGCATTAGATCAGAAAACGTATCCTTGGATGATGTCAAGATGTAATCTTACTCAGTGGGCACAAAGCTCTCAAGAACAAAACCCATGGTGGACTCTGCCCTCACCCACTGTGCCATGCGCTCACAACTTGAGCTCGCATCCTGGGATGACCCTTGTTGCCCTCGTCCACGTTCTTGGGGATCAAAGAAGCAGTAGGAGAAACTAGTTTTCCCTGAGCGCCGAGCCAGGAGTAATCCCTGAGCACTACCGGGTATGGCCCAACCCAGGGAATCAACAAAAAGCCCTGCCTGCATATGAGTATATCCCTGGAGATCCTCTCTGGGAACCTCAAATTCGTCATGTTATGGCTGGGAAGGTAGCTCGAAGAACTGGGGCTCTTCTTCATCTCACCTGGATGAGACCCTGAGTTGGAGCTCTGCCAACGCAGCCCGCTAACCCCAACCCTGGTGGTCCGCAGCACTGCTCACCTCAGTGGCCCTGAACTGCACGGGCAGGCCAAGTACCCACGCGTGTCCTTGGGTCGCACCCAGCCCCCCTCCCTGACAGTAATCACACTCCCAAATGTCATTATGTTCAAAAATCAAACTCAGGCTGCTCTCCTACCTCGGGGGCAGTGTGTTCCTCAAGCTAGTAAGCCAGGTCATAGCCAGGATGCATTCTGTCACCCTCATGCACCCCAACTTCTGCCAGGTCCTGCCCATGCTGCCCCCACCCCCTCACCCCCACCTCTTCCACTTCAGCTAAGGTCTCAGCAACTGCTTTAGCCCACAGCTCCCTGTCTCGCCCGAAGACGGCGTTATTGATCCCTCATTCATCTTTGTGTCTTCGCCACAGCAGACAGGGGTCTTGTTTGAAAACCACACTAAGAAGTATTTATTTGAAAAGACGTGTTTGTTTAAAGACCAAACTAAGGGGCCAACGGGCTCCGAGACCAATGCCTCTCTATCCTGCCCTTGCTCTGACTCTCGGTCTCTCTGTGGTCTGAGCATGTGTGGGCGACACAGAATTCGCGCCTCCTTGAAAGGCCTCTATTCACCAGGGGAGGCTTTTATGTGCGCCCTTAAAAAGCAGCATTTGTCACAGACACAAGTCCTCTGCCACCGTGATTTACTCTTCCATGGGGCGCATACTAACTTCGCTGCATTTCAAATTCTACAACTTATAATAAAATACCACAGAGTCTGCCAGGCTCTTGAGAAAGAGTAAGTAATAAACACCGCTCATTTTTATAGGAAACAAGATTTACACACATATAAGTTGCTCTTAAGTTAAATGGCGGAACACCGGACATTTTTGCTCCTATTCTAAAGGACCGATAAACAGTTTCATGCCCTAAGTGCTGTAACTGGACCAGGACCACACTACTTTTCTTACTTATGGGGCTGCTGGCAGGGACAGATCCATCACAAGAATAGACCTTTCAAAACAGAGAGGTGGTTTGTACATATACCCAGAACCAGAAAACCAGGGACAAGAATGTCTTTACCTCCTCCTCGAGAAGGAAGAAACAGGAGCATCTGTGATGTCGGCCTCCCACTCGTCCTCAGGGTCACAGAAGACATCTTCACTCCTGCTGCCGCTGTCACCCTAAGAGGAAACACTCAAGTCATTCGGGACTAAAAGTTCTTCAGCAATGAAGAAAAATGTTCCTAGACTGCTATAATTCAAACACCAATTCAGTCCAGGGGGAAAGTCCAAAGACTGGAGTGTGTGCTCGGGGGGTTGGTCCTGGTACCCCAACACTGCCTGGTACCAAGCCAGGGTGTGGCCCAAAACAGTTTTGTTTTGTTTTGGGTCACGCCTAGTGGGGCTCAGAACTTACTCCTGACTCTACACTCAGGGGTCACCCTAGCTGGCTCTGGGGACCATATGGAATGCCGGGGATTGAATCCAGGTAGTCTGCATGCAAGGCACACCTGCCACACACATATTCCCCAGTGCACTGTCATTCATTCAGGATATTTTTCTCTTTGACGTAACACTGATTTACACCCTGGCTTACATCTTTTTGAGGTAATACTGATTACATACCTGTGTGAGAAGTTTCTTTTCACACCTCTGCAAAAGTAAGTTGTCACAACACACCTACCACCCCAATTCTGTTCCACCACCTCTGCCCCTTCCTGTGTACCAGCTTTCCACCCCTCCCCTGGCCATCTCTACTATCCATTAGTTTAGGATTAGCTTTTATCTGCGCCCTTGCTATTTGGTTTCTGTTTATTAAATATCCCACCTATGCCGAGATCATCTGGTATTTGTCTTTCTCTTTCAGACTAACTGTGCTGAGGACCGGAGGATAGTACGGCGGGTTGGTAACTTGCTTTACATCCAGTTGATCAGGTTCAATCCCTGACACCACATATAGTCCCATGAGCACCACCAGGAATTATCCCCGACACCCATTTTTATAAATTTGTTTACAATAATCCATTACATTTCATAAACACCAATCCCACCACATTTCAAATGTTTCCACCCCAAATCCCAAAACATGCCCCCTAAATCTGAACTGAAACCATTAATTTTGTATTGCTTGTTATGAATAATCCACTAAAAATGGTCTAATAAAGTTTCTCTAGAGGAAAGTGTGTGAAGATTGTTGTATTTCATGACGGAGCCACTAAGCTCTTGTACAAGAGATTACTAACATGTTTGTTAAACCTAATTATTAAATGTTGTGTGCCACTCCTGGTACATCAGTGGGGTAGTGTGTGAGAGGTCGCTCCAGGAACTCTAAAATTTAGTATACAACTATAGAGCAGATTCACTCATGTCCCACCCCCATTTCTGTTGTGTCAGTGCTATCTGAAAATTAAAGAAATCTCTACCTCAAAGCTCCAAATGTCTGTTACCCTTTAATTCTTTTGAAAAATGATTTGTAATTGGTTTGCAATCCTTCAGAATTTCAGGGACATTGGTTAACACCTCTATATGTATATGGGCCTCAAAGCACCCTCCCCTACCCCAACGTTCCTCCTCTCCCCTTCCCCCCACTAAGTTCCAGGGACAACCCACCACCAAGAAGACCCTCCCTGATCCATTTCTCCTGCCACTCTCCCTCCAGTAACCACCGTAGCTTTCACTGAGTCTAGACCAGAGGTTTCCAGGCTTGGAGCCAGAGCCATAGTGTAGCAAGTTAAGGCCCTGGCCTTGCACGCAATTGACCTGGATCCAGTCCCCAGTATCCTTTATGATTCCCTGAGCACCACCAGGAGTGACCGCTAAGTGCAGAGCCAGGAGTAACCCCTTGAGTATAAACAGGTGTGGGCCGCCCAAAAAACCAAACCCCCCCCCCCAAAAAAAAACCTAAAACAAAACCCATTTACTGTAAAAATTTGACGAATATAGATTTTTGTTCATTGCATGTTAATTGTTGATAAAACCACAGACAGTGTGATGGGTTTTTATTTGCCAAGCTTTCTCTTCTTCTGGTGGCCCTGGATGACATATAGAAGGCAGGTCCTGGACTGCTAGCCTGACCTCACTGTTGTTATCCGTTCTTTTTCATCACGAAAGCATGCTGATTTTGATGGGGGTGGAGGGTTGGGCCACAGCCAGAGGTGCTCAGGGCCTACTCCTGGCTTGGTGCTCGGCAACTGCCCTGACCCTGCACTTTTTAATTGTACAACGTTTGCAAGGTGCTGGGGAGGGGGTTCACAGGGCTGGAGAGCATGTTTTTCATCTGGGAGTCCTCAATTTTGTCTCTGTCTCTGTCACCTGGCCCCCAAGCACCACCAGCTATGCCTTCCTAAAAAAATGACAAGTTTATGTGTATTTTAATGATGTTCCAAACCTCATAAAGCTCCTTCATGGCTGCAAGCTTAGACTCAAACTTCTCCAGACTCCAGAAAGTTGAGATTCCCAGTTGCAGGTTGCGAACCCGAACAGAGGTGTTGGACCGACTTCCTCTCTCTGACACATCGTGTCTGAGACACAAGGACAAAGACAGAGACAGAGGTTCATTGTAGGGGCCGGAGAGATAGTGCAGGAGGTAAGGTACTTGCCAAGCATGCGACCAGCCCTGGATCAATACCTGACACCCCATATGATCCCTGAACACAGAGCCAAGATGAAGCCCTGAGCACTGCTGAATAGAGCATGCCCCCCACCCCATGCCCTCCATACCCTGGCCAATAAGAGAGACTGTCACTGTTCTCCCATTGTTCATCGATTTGCTCGAGCAGGCCCAGCAACATCTCCATTGTGACACTTGTTACTGTGTTTGGCATATCGAATATGTCACGGGTAGCTTGCTTCACAAAAACAAGAAAAAGAAAAACAAACCCCAGCCCAAGATGACCTTGAAGAGTCACCTACAAATGTCATTGGGGTCCAAAACAAAACTCCCCAATCTTAAGAGTCATAAATCTGAGAACATGAAATGGATCTGAAGGTGAACTAGCATAAAGCCAGAGTTTTAAATCTGTATAATGAAGACTCACCGGCTAAAAACATAATACTTCTTTAATTTGTTGCTAATGGCATTGGCTTCCTGAATCATCATGGAGAGTTTCATGGAGCTCCAGTTGGGCAGAACTGAAAGAAAACACACAGAGGAGATTTAACATTTACCTACGAGGGGCTAGAGGGGAAGGACAGGGGTGAGAGCATGTGCCCTGCATCCCCAGGAACCCCAATTCAAACCCCTGGCACCACACATGGTCCCTGAGCGCCACCAGACGTCTCTCCTGAGCACAGAGCAGGGGTGAGACCTGAGCACTGCTGGGGTAGCCCAAACTCCATTTGGGGAGGTGGCTCAAAGGGCTTTGTATGTGGGAGCCCTGGGCTCGATCCCTGGGAGGAGGAGAAGAGAAAGGAGTAAGAAAAAGAGAGAAAAGAAGAGAGAAGAGAGAAGAGGAGGAGGAGGAGGAGGAGGAGGAGGAGGAGGAGGAGGAGGAGAAGGAGGAAGAGGAGAAGGCGGAAGAGGAGGAGAAAGTAGAGGAGGAGGAGGAGAAGGAGGAGGAGGAGGAGGAGGAGGAGGAGCAGGAGCAGGAGGAGCAGGAGGAGGAGGAGGTGGAAGAGGAGGAGGAGAAAGAGGATTCCAAAGGAAGAAGAAGGGACCAACGGCAACACAATGGGATACCTGATCCAGACAATGTAGTTGGGGGGAGAGGGGGATACAGGGAAGGGTCTATAGGGGATACAGGGTCTTGTGGGGGAGGGAGGTGGGTCCACTGGTGATGGATGTGGTACTGGAATGACATACATGTGAAACCATCATTAACAGTATTTCGAACCATAGAGCTTTTATTTAAAAAAAATTCAAAGAAAGAAAATTAAAAAGAAAAAATTAAAAGCAAACAAGATAAATCTGTTGCTGCTAGCTCTTTCTCCATATGTTTTATGTGCTTCCTTTAGTAGTTAGAATAATTGTTTTAAAAAAGACTTATTTTTGCTTTAAAAATGAAGAATAAAACTGTGCTGCAGGGAGGGGGATGTAGCTCAGTGGTGGGCTTCCTGTATTGCCTTGCATATGAGAAGCCCACCAAAAAATTCTACATAGAAATGTAGGGCAAGTGCGAAAGTACAATTGGTAGGACATTCACCTTGCACACAGCTGACCAGTTTGTTTGGTTATTTATTTATTTATTTATTTATTTATTTATTTGCTTTTGGGGTCACACCCAGCAATGCTCAGGGGATACTCCTTGCCCTTCACTCAGGAATTACTCTTGGCAGTGCTGGGGGACCATATGGGATGCCGGGGATCAAACCTTGGTCAGCCGCATGCAAGGCAAACACCCTACCCGCTGTGCTATCGCTCCGGCCCCTGACCAGAATTTAATCCTTAGCACCCTCTATGGTCCCCTGAGCTCACCAGGAGTGAATCCTGAGTGCAGAGCCAGGAGTAAACTCAGTACTGCCAGGTGTGGTTCAAAAACAACAAAAACAGAGGATGGAGCGATATAGCACAGTGGGTAGGGCATTTATTTGCCTTGCACATGGCCGACCGGGTTTGATTCCCAGCATTCCATATGGTCCCCTGAGCACCACCAGGGGTAATTCCTGAGTGCAGAGCCAGGAGTGACCCCTGTGCATAGCTGGGTGTGATCTTCTCCCCCCCCCCCCAAAATAAAACCAAGAACAGCAACAAAATAAAATGTGAAAATTTAAATTTTCAACTGGGAAAGAAAGCAAAATATCCAGTGATTAATCACAATTTATGATACAAAAAGGAGTTAAGAATTAGAATAAGATGCATTTTTAAAAATGTCACTGTCCTCCCGTTGTTCATAGATTTGCTCGAGCGGGCCCAGTAACGTCTCCATCGTGACACTTGTTACTGTGTTTGGCATATTAAATACGTCACGGGGAGCTTGCTATGCTTTGCCATGAAGGTGAGATGCTCTCGGTAGCTTGCCAGGCTCTCTGAGAGGGGCGGAGGAATCGAACTCGGGTCGGCGATGTTGGCCGCTTGCAAGGCAAACGCCCTACCCGCTGTGCTATCGCTCCAGCCCTTTAAAAATGGCACACATTAAAATTACTTGGATTTTTTTTTTTACTGTTTTTGACATTACTAAATAGTTGAAAAACTGAATAGTAAAAGCAATTAATCACACAAATTTAATTATGTCTATAGAAGTCAACATCAAGACCATATGGAATATCAAGGGAAGAACAGTAACAATTCAGTAATTTCAGGACTCACACACATCACTGTGGAGAATGCATGCCAAAACTATTTACTCACTTGTAAAAGTTTTATCTCTATTACTCTGATTTTGCTGTAGAATTTGTACTTCTTTAGCAATTTTTTCCTTCTCATCTTCTAAAGCTTTTAGAATTCTTGCATGGCGGATTCTGTGATCTTCTAACGCCTAATTTGTGATCATTCACAAAGTCCCAGAGATCAGGGTATGTGCAAAGAGAAAACATTATAAACCCAAGTGATCATGGCAACACACTGGAATTAAACTTCCTTTCTAGTTCTGAGTTTGGAAAACACACATATTTCATTAAGCATACAAGGCTTTTAAAAGGTGGTTATAAAACAGATGTATAAAACGATTTTCCCTCTCCAACAAAATCATTGAGAAGTTTTGGTGTCAAACATGAATCTTTTTTTTCCATTGACAGGAAACTGAAAAATTTTTAGAGACAAAAAAAAAAAAAGAAAAAGACGGGGGTATGGTGCTGCCAGCAGGTCAATTTGTACCTGTGAGGCGAGTGCATCAGCAGCCTGATGGCACCATCAGGCTATCAGATACCCCAAAACTGCTGCTGTGCCTTTGGCCAGACCCCAAAAACTTGGGGCAAAGTTTTCCAAGAAAGTAAACTGCCAAAAGTTAGGTATGTGGGAGACACACCCACAAACCACCTCCGGCTCAGCTATAGAATTGGAGGTATGACCTCTCTGGTTCCTGATCACACTGCTTAACGGCCATGACCCCAGAGACTCAGAAACGAATCTCAGAACCCAAAGGCTTTTGGCAGAAATGCGTCCTGTTCCTGCAGTAGGTTACTGGTGCCGGGCCACTCTAGGTGGGAATAGGTTTCGTGCCTTGGCCTGTTCCTCTTGGAGGCCCGGTGACCACCATTCTCCAGAGGTCAATGGACAGTCAGGTTTGGGCCTGCAGTGATGAGACACATGGGGCCTCACCAGATGGGGGTGGAACCAGCCCTTTCCTCCCCATCCCAGCAAGACCCCGAGTCGCTACCTACAAAAAGCCTCTCTGGCTCCTGATCAAGCTAATTAACAGCCATGATCCCAGAAACTCAGAAACAAATCTCGAAATCCAGCGGCTTTTGGCAGAAATGCATCTGGACTGCATACAAGGTAGCCACCGCCTCAGAGCTTATTGGAAAGTCAGGTATGAGTCAGCGGTGATGGGGCAACTGCAGTCTCATGGGAAGGGGGGTGGAATACTGGTTCATCCTTCACACCCTACCGAGGTCACGAGTTGCCCCCCACAAATGGCTCTCGGCACAGCCAGGGCTCCAGAGGCAAAAGGACTTAATCCAGAGCCCGCAGCTTGCAGCAGAAAAGTGAATGGACCATGTGCTAAACTATGGCACCATGCCTCCCCGGGAGGGAAAGGGTGTTGCTCCCTTCCACCTTTTTCCCACCCAGCAGCAAGGTGGCCGCCACCTCAGAGCTTATTGGAAGGCCAGGTATGAGCCAGCAGTGACGGGGCAACTGCAGTCGCATGGGAAGGGGGACGGTACTGGCTCATCCTTCAAGTTACTGTGCATATTAATTTTAACAAGAGGATGAAAATCCTCACTTTGTATCTTTATAGCAAATGCAACATTTTCATATTTTCCACCAAAAATTCAGGGAATCAATAAAAATATGGATATATTATAGGAAAAAAGAACAATTGTTGACTACATTTAAAACTTTAATTAAAATTTAAAAGTTTTTATAACATAAAAGTCTATAGCCCACTAGTAATAACAGTTTTGGAGGTCTTTAAAGAGTTCTGTTTTCAAGTGTTTAAGTTTTCTTCTGAAGCTTCCCCTAACCATTTGTTTCTAAAATCAATAGAACTTGTATTATCAGCAAAGTGTGGCTCTAATACTTTGGGGTTATTAGCATTTTCTTCCACCTCCACTTTCCTCCATTTTGGAAATGGAATAAAATTTCCATATGGAAGTAAAACCTTAAAAATAAAGATATAAAGACTGGAGCAATAGTACAGTGACTAAGGCACTCACCCAGACTCAATCTCCCTCATCCTACATGGTCCCTTGAGCCAGACAGGAGTGATCCCTGAGCACAGAGCTAAGAGTAAATCCTGAGCACAGCTGGGTGTGGCCCCACAATCCCAAACCAAAATAACAAAGAAAAGAGATGTTTCTAGTTTGTAGTTTGGTCTCTGCACCCCACAAGGTCCCCCAGCCCTTCCCAGAATGATCCCCGAGCACAGACCCAGTAGACCTGTGCACAGCCAAGGGTGGCCCAAACCCTCCCCACCACGCCCCCCAAAAATAAAAAAAAAAAATCCAACTTTTCCTTAGAACACAGTAACAAACCCTAAAATGGAGTCACCTGCTTTGCAGCCAAAGCCTCCATTTCTAATCGCTTTTTGTTGACATATATTTCTTGTTCAAGTCGTTGCTTTGTCGTTTCTAATTCTTCAATCTTGTGACTAGCCTTTTGTTGATTGATTTCCTGCAGTTTCTTCCTTTGAAATTCTTCTTTCTTTAAAGAACAAAAATAAAAAATGAGGGCAAGAAATACAAAGGTTTTTGTTTGTTTGTTTGTTTGTTTTTAAGTGTGTTTTAAAGTCTAAAGTCCTGGGGCTGGAGAGATAGTATAGAGGGTAGGGTGCTTGCCTCGCATGCAAACAACCTGGGTTCAATCCCCAGCACCCCATATGATCTCCTGAGCACTGGCCAAGAATAATTCCTGAGTGTAAGGTAAAGGTAAAGGCCCTCCCGTTGATCGTCGATTTGCTCGAGCGGGCCCAGTAACGTCTCCATTGGAGACTTTGTTGTTACTGTGTTTGGCATATCGAATACTCTCGGTAGCTTGCCGGGCTCTCCGAGAGGGGCGGAGGAGAGTGTAGGGCCAAGAATAACCCCTGAGAATCACCAGGTGTGGCCCAAAAAGTAAAATAAAGGATATTTTTAAAAAGAAAAAATTAAGTCCAAATTCCCTTCTTTATTTCATGCACCTGGAGCGATAGCACAGCTGGTAGGGCGTTTGCCTTGCATGCAGCCTACCCGGGTTCGATTCCTCCATCCCTCTAGGAGAGCCCAGCAAGCTACAAAGAGTATCTCGCCCGCAGGGCAGAGCCTGGCAAGCTCCCTGTGGCGTATTCGATGTGCCAAAAGCAGTAACAACAAGTCTCACAATGGAGACGTTACTGGTGCCCGCTCGAGCAAAACTCGATGAACAATGGGACAAGAGTGCTACAGTGCTACTTCATGCACCAAAAAAGAAAACTTGCTCTATTGCTTTTCTGCTTCATCCAGGTCAACATATCGACTGTAAAAAAGCATCAATCCTGTTAGACCTCCTCGAAAATGCGTTGCCAGGGGCTGGAGAGAGAATACAGTGGGTAAGGTGCTTGCCAGCAGAGGGAGATGTGACCCAAAACAAACAAATAAAAATGCATTCCCAGGAGAAGATCCCAGGAATCCTGGCTGAGAGCCTTGGCCCGGGGTGCTGAAGGACAGACTTATTTTATCTTCTTTCCTTCTTCCAGCAGCCACTGTCCATTACCAATGTCACTGTCACTGTCCTCCCATTGTTCATCGATTTGCTCGAGCAGGTCCAGTAACGTCTCCATTTTCAGACTTGTTGTTACTGTGTCTGGCATATCGAATACGTCACGGGTAGCTTGCCAGGCTCTACCGTGCGGGCGAGATACTCTCGGTAGCTTGCCGAGCTCTCCGAGAGGGGCGGAGGAATCGAACCTGGCTCGGCTGGGCTGGCTGCGTGCAAGGCAAACGCCCTACTGCTGTGCTATCACTCCAGCCCATTACCAATGTAATGGGCGTAAAGTAAAGCAGCAGACGAACCCTCCAGCTCTGACCAGAGCGTGGCCTCCACACTAATTCCAGGCCCCACAGTTGCAGCCAACACATCCCTTGGGGGCCGCAGCAGAGAAACAAAACCAAACAAGTCTGCCTTTTACCAGTTCTGCTTCTAAGGCTTTGATCTTGCTTTCGTAGGCAGCCTTTTGAGACGAAAGCTCTTGCTGTGCCATTTCCTTCGCAATCTGGATCCCTTGAGTCATTTCTTCCTTTGCTTTCAGCTGAGCCTCTCTGATTTCTGCTTCCAGTCTACAAAGCAGCAAAAGATGATTCAGGCTACATTGTCAAGGATTCTTTACATACCATCATGGTTAAGAATTACATTCAAATCGAAGGTTTCTTCCTCTTAAATGTAACTTTAAATCTCGAAACTAAATTTCTGATATTCTGGTCACAGCATTCGAAGGTGCGATTTATTTTAGAATTTTTAAGCCAATCAAAACTTTTGCTTTGGGGGAGGAACCTGTAACTCATCAGCAGAGTAAGTGCATGCCTTGCACATGTAAGGCCCTGAAGCATCACAAAAGAAAATAAGATTTGGGTCAGAGAAATAGATCACCAGGCTGGAGCATGATTCTTGTATGCATGAAGCCTGGGTTCTAGCCCTAGTAACTCACACCACCAGGAATGACCCCTAAGCAAAGCAACCCCCAAACACTACTGGATATGGTCCCAGATCAAAAAAATAAATCATTTAAAAAATTGGCTTATACATATGTTGGGCTGGAGCAATAGCACAGTGAGTAGGGCACTTGCCTTGCACGCAGCTGACCTGGGCCAACCCCGGTTCGATTCCTCTGCCCTTCTCAGAGAGCCCGACAAACTACCAAGAGTATCGCGCCCGCATGGCAAAGCCTGGTAAGCTATCCTTAATGTGTTCAATATGCCAAAAACAGTAACAAGTCTCACAATGTAGACATTACTGGTGCCCGCTCAAGCAAATCGATGAACAATGGGAGGACAGTGCTATACAGCGCTATCTATGTATATGTTAGTTATTATTGCAGATATTTCTATTTTTCTGCTATTTAAGAAAAAAGTGTTATCTAAAAATGTTATGGTAAGTGTCCACAAATAGTATAATATATGTAATAATCAATATGCTAGTTACTATAATCAGTATAAATAATCAGCATAATATACGTAAATTAAGGGTGTTTTCTAATAAGATAACAATGGCTTAAGAAAACATATTTCATATCAATACCTCTTGATTCAGGTTTAGGTCATAGATCAGCAAGACACTGAAATGGCTCTAAAAGCACACGATTTGGGACTGGAGAGACAGGGCAGCAAGGACCTCAGGCCTTGCTCCCTGGCATTCCACATGGCTACCCAAACCTCACCAGGAATGACCCCTAAGCTCAGAGTCCGGAATCAGCCCTGAGCACTTCTGGGTGTGGCCCAAACACCCCCACAAAAAGCGCATTTCTGATAAAGGGTATACCTCATACTTTCAATCATCTATAGTAATTTAAAATTTTGACGGCTTGAAACATTACATTGGATTTCCATCTCTTAACATACAGAGGGAAATGCCTTAATGATCATATAAAATTAAATTTTTTTTCTCTCTCTTCTCAATAAAAACCATGCTTTAGCAACTGCACTGCATTCACAGTTCTAGTGAAAGAGAAAAAGATGATAAAAATGAGAAAGAGAAAGAGAAAAAAAAAGAGTGAGAGAGAGAAACACATTAGGAGTTCACCAGGTTTGGAAACACAGGCAGAGAAGGCGCTTCCTGGCAGAGCTTCAGAGGGAAAGATGGGAAGTTTCCAGCTACAGACCATGCTGATGGTTGCCTGAATGTACCTGAAATGGTTTTTGTTACTGAAATTTTCACTTAAAAATGGTTTTAGGGTCTGGAGGGGGTAAGGAGCTTGCCTTGCACAGAGCTGCCCCATGTCTGATCCCTGGCATCCTAGACCGTCCCCTGAGCACCATCAGGAGTAATTTCTGAACATCACCAGCCAGGTATGGCCCCAAAACCCCAAAATAATAATAAACTAAAAAAGGGACCGACCATGAGCACCTCATCTGATTAAATTCTCTAAAGAGTCTTTCCGATAGTCTGAACTCATTCGCGTTTACCAAGGTATGCATTACCACTGAGTTGACAAGGGTACTTCTTCAATCAGAAACCCTACAATGCTTTATGAGCTAAAGCTGGAGCAAAAGTAGCAAAGAAAGCAGAGACGCACACCCCCAGGACCCCCCCAAAACACACAGCCCAAGTCCACTCTGGCTAGTTCTAGCAGCCACTGTAGACTGTGTCCTAGGGCCTCTCATCTCCTAGTGAGTATGTCTGACCCACAGAAGCTTCCCAGAATGCAGAGGTCTGTCAGAATGCTGTCACGACTGGGAATCCCTGAGCCCTAACGAATGGTGGGTGTCCGACAGGGTCTCCAGCCGATGGTGCGTCCCTCCTATTTTGGAGCTACACTTCAGTTACCCTTTGTATTCTCATCACCAGCACAGTGGCAGAGACAAAAGACCAGCTGAGTAAGTGCTTGTTGAGAAAACGTGACCTCATGAGAAGCCAGCACCTCGAGGTTTAACAAGTTCCCCCGGACCCTCAACCTCCAGACTGCCACAGTTCCCCAGGCCTCACCCTCCAGACAGACAGTAATACTTACTGTGATCTCTGTGCCATGAGCAACTCGTTTTTGGCAAACTCGAAGTCTTTGGGGCCTTCACCCACAAAAGTTTCTCGGCTACACGGTCTCTTCCCCTTCTGGACTTCTACTGGGTGATTAAATCTGAAATAATGATCTCCACCAAGAATCACCCGATCACCCTAGAACACAGCAAGAAAATGGATTGTTTTGGGAGCAGTCTAAAACAAAAACTATAAGTTGCACTAGACACATCACCGCCCATCAATTCAGCTTCCCCATGAAAACCAAGTCGCGGTCACACACTCAGTATGGCCCCAGCAGCCAGCCTCACACCATCTCATCTCTGTCACACAGACCCAGTGAGGTGACATGCTGTCACCCTGATTTTAGGAATTAAGAGATCGAAGAGCACAGAGATAATGAAGAAAGTAAGAAGCATTCACGGAGAACACTATTAGCAGACACTGTGCCAAGGACTAGCCCCCTGCTCGGTGGCATGTGGCCCCAAACCAAAAATAAAGAATGATGCAATTGCACCAAGTGCTTTCCTACACTTGAAATGTAAGGAACATACATGAAGTGACCTGAGGTCTTGGTTTACCTGCGACAGGCTGGTTTGTGCCAGTTCTCCTAATGTAATTACCGAAAATTATTCTCGAAACTGCCCCAAATTGGGTTAAACACAATCACCCATGCTGAACAACTCTTCCAAAGGCTGCGGAGCACATGGCAGGGAGCACAGCTTCTGGGCCTATTGCACAGCCCACCCCCCCCCCCCCCCCCCGCCCTGGGGACAGAATCCGGTGCCCACGCTTCCAGTGACAGGGCTGCTGTCTGTGCACAGCAAAGGAGAGAGAATTGCTGATGGGTCTAGTCCTCAATCAAGTCCTCTTACAGTGGGGGGAAAAGTTGGAAGAGAATGGACCAAGCAACTTGCCCCAAGTCAGAGGACTTCTGACGTCGGAGCACCAGCCGACTTACGTGATGCAAGATGGTGAGTTCCAGAATGTGTTTCCCATTCACGTATGTCTTTGCTTCCCCAGTGGGGATGATGCTCACGGTGCCGTCAACGTTTCTGATAGAACTGTTAAGACAAAACAAAAACAACCCACATGGTGAAAATGGTAGGACCAAAAAAAAGGAAATTCAGGAGATTCCTGCTTAGGTTTCTCTCTTGGTATGAATGCTCATGACAATTTAAGACAACAATAGCATTCTTTCTTTTTCTCCAGCTAGATTTTAAAATTTAGGTGGGGGAAGAAGCTTGGTCTGTAGTGGGAAGAATTTCGATTGTGTTTATTTTTTTATTAAAATTACTTAAATAAGCAACTTCTCTTATCTGAAAAGAAAAATATCTATTAAAATTTTCCAGGGAGGCTATAGACCCAACATGATTGCCACTCAATGCCTCTTTTGCAAACCACAGCACCCAAAAGGAGAGAGAGAACAAAAGGGAATGCCCTGCCACAGAGGCAGGGTGGGATGGGGGAATGGGTGGTGGGAGGGATACTGGGATCCATGGTGGTGGAAAATGGACACTGGTGGAGGGATGGGTACTTGATCATTGCATAATTGAAACCCAAGCACAAAAATTTGTAAGTCTACAACTTACAACTCTTGGTGTTTCACTAATAAAAATTAAAAAAAAAAAAAATTCCAGGGAGGGGCCAGAGTAGTAGTATAGCAGGTAAGGCACTTGCCTTGCAAGCAGTCGACCCATGTTCAATCCCCAGCATCTCTTATGATTCCCTGAGTATGCTAGGAGTGATCCCTGAGAGAAGAGCCAGGAGCCCTTAGCACTGCCAGGTGTGCCCCCTCCCGAAAAAAAAAAAATTTCCAGGGAAATATTTTTTTGAAATACTGTCAGTGTTCACCTACAAAAAAAAAACATATTTATCATTTGTAATACAGATACTGAAAGGCCATCATGTTTGAAAATGATAATGCCCAAAAGAAGAGAGAGACAGAGAGAGACAGAGAGAGAGAGAGAATAAAATGAGAATAAAAGCAGGCTGGAGGAGAAGTGGCAGCTGGGATTCGGCGATATCAGTCATGTGAAATGTATGCTGCTGGGGGATGGGTGTTGGAACATTGTATGACAGAAATCATGAAAGTTTTGTAACTGTATCTCACAGTGATGCAGTGATTCAATTAAAAAAATCAAAAATTAATTTTAAAAAAGAACATATTTTTAAGTTTTTACTTCTGGCACTGTGATGCCTAGAGTAAATTTCACTTATAACACCAATGAGAGTAAAGTTTCGTCATAAAACGACCCCCAGCAGAAAGTCTGCTTCCCTCCACCATTTGTCCCAGCGTCACCCCATCCTCAAAAAGAAATTTGTTTGTGTTTTGGGGCAATGCTCAGGGATCACTCATGGTGGGTTCAGGGGCCCATTTGTGGTGCCTGGAATCAGACCCAGGGCTTCCATATGCAAAGCAAGCTCCCTACCTATTGCATTACCCACTCCCCCCAAACCAAACTATTCTCAGTGTTTCATTATTTTATTTTTCAAGAGTTTTGGCTCTGTGAATGTTATGATTTTGAAGTTGTGCTAAAATTATTTTTAAGTTTGGAAAGCACTCCAAATTGTCTAAGAGCTGAGACATGAGGTTTTAGGATATGTGCATATTGGATTTTACTCTACAACCTTAACCTCGATGCTGTCAGACTTTATGTCAGTCAGGTGGACTTAAAATAGTCCATTTGGACTCATCTTGACTCCAGGAGTCTCATTTGAATTCATTTTGCATTTCTTTGACTTAAGTCTTTTTATGTAGTTTGGCTATTTTCTTTGCTCTTCTGTGAGTTGAAGTTTCATTTTTTGACCCAGTTTTATTTTAGAGGTGGCAGGGAGTTGGATTTTGGGCTACACCCAGTAGTTCTCAGGGATCTAGAACTGTGCTCAGGGATCACTCTGGGAAGAGAACCCCTAATTAAAGAGAAAGGCAGCTTGGCGGGAGTGAGAGTACAGCATTCACCCAGCACCACATGTGATCCCTGAGCCCACCACGAATAATCCCTGAGTACAGAGCCAGGCCTAAGCTCTAAGCACTACTGAGTGCGCCCAAAAGCAGAAAAGGAGAGAGCGAGAGTGGGGGGGGGGGGGGCCGGGGGAAGGAGAGAGAGAGACAATGCATGTCAGGTCAGGACTCCAACTTCCTGCTGGCTTCCCTGGAGTCTCCTAGCTCATGTACCATGGAAACTTGTCTAGTGAAATGCTTCATCTGTACCAGGAAACATGCACCAAATATTCACAACTGTATTGCAATAAAAATAGAATACAACCCAAATGCCTGCTGACAAGGAAAAGCAGGCTGTAGTAAAAAGAAAGATAGGTGAGCTCATAACATACTTCACAGCAGTGAAGATGAAAGCATGTAGGTGTGAATAAAGCTTAAAAACGCAGTCTAGAAAAGGGAAAGTACAGGATTGGTGCTTCACCCAGGGACTGAAAATTCTCGCCCCAGGAACTCTGTCACCAGGGCTCATTCCAACAAGGGGTGTTTCACAAAGGTGGGGAACAGGGAGATGGGGGGCTGCAGAGCAGAGTCTGGGATACAGTTACAGAGGCAGGGCGGCCTGGCTGGGAAATAAACGCCCTCTGCCTCTCCTTTCATTAAAAAAAGAAAAAAAAAATCGCAATCTAGAAAACAGTTTCCAGTCATCCCAACAATACATGATCATTCCACTCACATGAACAAAATTCACCTGAAGCAAAACCCAAACTCCCACCACAAAGACAGACAAAGGTTTACTTTCATCCATAATTATGATTTCAAGAAATAGAATCATTCACTAGCCAGCACATCACATGCATGAAAACAAAACCAGGAACATTATTACTTTGTACTTCATATGGAAAATAAATTCACCTAACATCCTTACAAAACACTCAAAAAATTTGTGCTTTTCCTGGCTTAAAGATGTGGTTGAAGAATCATACCAAAGAACTAGTATAAATGAAAACTCCGTGCAAAGGAATCATGCAAAGGACAAACACTTTTTAAAACAAAAAACAAAAAACAAAACAAAGGCAAAGAATTAACATACCAATGGTCATCAGCGATCAGCACCCCAGACAACTGAATATCATGACTTGAGTCTGACTTATACTTTCCAACTGTGGTTGTTCCTTCCTTTATCATATATAATAGCATCTCTGAGAGCTGAGGATCTTCATTGAGATTGACAAGGTTTGGCAAATGATTGTCCATCTGAAACGTAATCCCTGCTTTCTGAGAGAAATCAGAGGGAAAATAATTAGTCTTGACCACAGGCATAAAATTGTTAAATCCACCTAAAATGAATGGAAAATGTTAAACATTTAAGATCTCTAGGGCTGCTGTAGCGATAGCACAGGGGTAAGGTATTTGCCTTGCACGCGGCTGACCAGGGTTTGATTCCTCCACCCTTCTTGGAGAGCCTGGCAAGCTACCCGTGATGTATTCGATATGCCAAAAACAGTAACAAGTCTCACAATTTGTTGTGAGACATTACTGGTGCCCACTCGAGCAAATCGATGATCAATGGGAGGACAGTGCCACTCCTGTTGATCCTCAGTCAATCAGACGAGACAGTGCCTGGGCCCAGTGAGGCAGTGCTGCTTGGGGCCACCAAAGTTAACCCCAACACTGACTGCCACAGTGCCCAGGGGCCCATGTGAGGCCTATGTGATGCCCATGTGATACCAGGGATCAAACTTCAGTCCTCGAGCGTGCAAAGCAAGACACTCCTGATCCCCAAACTATCTCCCTGTCCTCCTGGCTCTGACTGCTCCTTTCACACTTGCTGAACTTCTAAGCATTACGTCAGCCCTTCTTTGTCCTTGGTGACTCGCCACTGATCATCAGGCGGTGCCTATTCTTACAATCACTCGTCCTGTTGGTGTACACTTAGTGCCTCTCAGTGCACCTCCACTGCCGTCGCCTTCCTCCCCCTTCTCTGACTGCAGAAGCAGCATCCCCATCGCCCTGGCCATGATCCCTTCCACTTTGGGCCCGATCTGAGTGAGGCTTCTCCAATGTCCATTCACTACTCACTTTCAGTGACTTCCTATTTTGTACTGTTGAGATTTAAAGTTCCTGCCACGGAGAGCAAGCCCTGAACAAACCAACTGTGACATACCCTAATATCTCCTTGGGACCTAAAAGATGCCTGCTCACGTAAACAGACCCAACGCCCTCTTGGAACATACCTCTGCCTGTCCTTTACTCTCTGCAGTTTCTTCCTTCCTTTTACCCATCTCCCAAAATCTTACCCAAGCTTCCAAAGGAAATTCCAATCTCCCCTGTGAAACAAGGCTGGCCATTCCCAAAGATGTTTCCCTTTTCCTCTAAATTCGTGTAGAACTCACCTGCGAATCATTTCAAGTATTTCCTTTACTGTCAAAACCTTTGCCCCATACCCAGTTACTCCAATATTCTTTAGAACCTCTCTCCATAAGGGAGTTTGATTTCAGTTTTTTTTTAATGGTTCTTTAATCCTTTAAGAAAATAACAACAAACTTTCTCCTTATCCTCACAGCATTCCTCCTTCTGGTCCCACAAAATCACTTCTCACTCAGGATTTTCTAAGTCTCTAGTCCACTTCCTTATCGCTGACTCCTTCCCCAACTACTGCCATCTGATTTTCCTTATTTCATCTGTAATGACTCCAAAACTTCACAGTGAAATCAGACATGTCAGCAACCTGGGCCTCATTCCTGACTTTTCCTTTTCTCTCAATACCCACATCTTTAAAAACAAAAACAAACTAGGAAATCGATCTCCTTTAGTCGTGTTGTTGGTTTGGGATCACACTCAGCAGTGCTCGGGGATGACTTCCAGTGTGGTAATTGGAGGTTGCTCCTGGTGGTGCTCAGGAGACCATGCAGTGCTGGGATCAAGCCAGGCCTCCGGTCTGCTGAGGCTCCTCCCTGCATTACCTCCTCACGTGTGAGTGTGTGTGCATGTGCGTGTGTGTATGTGTATGTGTGTACGCATGTATGTGCGTATGTGCACGTGTGTGTTTGGGGGGGGGGCTAGGGATCAAACCCAGGGCCTCACTCATGCTGAGGCACATGTTCTGCCATTCATGCACATCATGGCCAAACCTCCTCTCCTGAATCCAGCTCCACTGATGTTCCCACTGTCACCACCTCATTCCACACGCACCTCTGGCTTAGCCACAGCAACAACCTCTGGAATGAGTAACTTGCCCCACCACCATCAGTCTCGTGACCATCAGAATCACTTTCCTCTTACTGCCAAAGAACGCTATTCCAAACACAACTTGAGGGTTGCAGGGGTGGCTCAATGGCTGAGTGCATGCTTTGCATAAGGGAAGCCCAGGTCTCACCCCCACTTGGTCCCCAGGTCACTGACAGGAGTAGCCCCGGGGCACCACAGGATGTGGCCCCAAAACAAACCAAAACAACAACAAAGACCCAAAGGTTGTTTTTTTCTGACTACACAAGGTGGTACTTGGGGCTTACTCCTGGCTCTGTGCTCAGGAATCCCTCCTGGTGGGGCTCAGGGAAACCTATGAGGTGCCAGCCACATGCAAATCAAGTGCTGTCCTGTCTTTCTGACCTCAAACCCATAAATACCATGCCATTCTTCTTCCCTTTAAAATCTCAAGAAAAAATAAGAGCCAGAGAAATAGTTAAATAGACAGGACAGTAGTTTTGCATGCTGGAAGTCTAGGTGCAAGGCCCAGAACTGCCTGGTCCTCTAAGCTTGGCCAGGAGTGAGTTGCAAGCTTTGATCTGGGAGTAGCCCCTGGGCAAAAACTAAAATAAAAAATCATCCCCTTCCACGGTTGCAATCCCCTATCTTCAAGTTCCTCCCCAGGTCAGGAAGTTAAAATTTAGTGGGGGGGGGGGGGGGGGAGGGGAGGGGGGAAAGGCCTCATCCAGCGATGCTCAGGAGTTACTCTGGGCTCTGGGACTATATAGGATTCTGGGAATCGAACCTGGGTCGTCTGCATGCAAGGCAAGCACCCTACCCACTGTACTGTTGTTCCAGCCCCATCATGAGATCAGTCTTACAGGTCTCGCACAATGTGAATTAACAACTCATAAATTCTCCAGAAATACAACCTGTGCTGAGAGCAGCCTGTGAGAACAGGGTTCCTCTGCTTCAACTTGCTATTTGTCTGGTATGTTCCTGTCCACCGCACAAAACGCCACCAACTTCATTTCCCGTCTCTTCCAAGGGCTTCCTAGGAAATACCCTCAGCAAGACTCACTATTCCCCAAGACACGGGTCTTTTATCTGCTTTGAGTTGAGCTGAGTCACCAGAACTCAACCCCCTATTACCTACAATGACTGTGTTCGACCAAGTCACTGGCTCACACTGGACAGTCCTCCCTCTGGGTCACACGTGGCCTTTGTCTCCCGTGAACCCAGCACAGGCATCAATATAAAGTCAATCTGTTAAGCCACAGTAAACAGAGCTAAACAGTCTGTGCTTGACTTTCTCAGTAGTTTACAGGCCCTAAACAATCACATTATTGACCTTAATCTTTTTTTGTATCATTATCCAGTGGTGCTCAGAGGACCATGGAGTGCCAGGGAGTGAGGCAGGACTTTTAAAGCATGACTTCCAGCCCTGTGAGCATCTCCACAGGCTGTTCTTAAGATCCTTAAAGTCTTGGCGCTGGAAAGAGAGCAGAGCAGTAGGGCGCTTGCCTTGCACGTGGTTGACCCAGGTTAAATCCACAGCATCCTATATAGTAATTCCTGGAGGAGCAAACCCTGAGAACCACAAGGTACGGCCAAAAAAAAAAAAAAAAGATTTTTGCCTGTATGGTATTACATTGCGAAGTATCTGCATTTAAAAAGCACTTTCTGTTTGTGTGTGTTTGTGCTGGGATGGAGCTCAGGGTCTCACACATGCAAGGCAAAAGCTTGTGTGAGACTGAGTCACACCCCCAGAAGGGAGAGGGCACCCCTGAGCACTGCTTGGAAGGGGTCTCCCGCCAAAGAGAAATTAAATTTACATGTTTCTTTTAACATTCAAGTCAAGCAAGAAAGTTGAGCTAATACCTGTAACTCCTTTGTTTCCTGAAGCTTCCTTTGTTCAGCTTTTTCGAATTTTTCTTTCCACATTCTTTCCAAAGAAAAAAGTAATAGTCAAATATCTCCAGATAAGATTGAAAATTAAGACTTAGCCAATAAATATGGAAACACTGAAGTGATGTTTAACATACGCAAAATGTTTTAATATATTTGCGGGTAACTCAACAAAATAAGGAGCAGAGAAGGGAGCCTCAACCCACTGGGTCACCTGCAAACACCTGAGAGGGTCAGGACTGGTGAAGTTGGCCACGAGCCCCTGCGTGGCAATGATACCCATATCCCACCAGCCCCCGACGCAGCTATCAGGCTGTGTGGAATCCACCCGATCTACATGGCGGGGGACAGGACCCGCCATCGGAGTTCTAGGGGACATCATGGACCCAGCTGGAGCGAGGGGCTGCTCTTTGCAGGGAAATGAAAACCAGTCCTGACCTCTACCCAGTTTTCTAGCTCTGTCATCTTCCTTAGTAGAAAAGAATTTAGACAATGAATAGTGACATGGAACCCTTTTATTTAGAGACATACACGGTAGAGTGGGTAAGAGGGATAAAGGTGAAGTGAGGGAGGGTTAGAGAAATGGAGGAATAGAGAGAGAGAAAGAGAGAGAAGAGGGAGAGGGAGGGAGAGGAACAGACAGGAGAAAGAGAGAGGGAAAGAGAGGAGAGAAAGATAAACAGGGAGAGGGAAAGAAAGAGAGAGGGAGAGAGAAGAAAGAAAGAAAGAAAGAAAGAAAGAAAGAAAGAAAGAAAGAAAGAAAGAAAGAAAGAAAGGAGGGACGGAGGGAGGGAGGGAGGGAGGGAGGGAGGGAGGGAGGGAGGGGAGAGGACACAGGCTTCTCTAGCAGGGAACAAGCCAAGAGTACACATGCCAGGATAAGATATGGGGAACCAACCCCCAGGATAGGGAATTCATCATAAAGTAAAATGTAGAATTAAAACATTGGGTCTGGGCTGTTCTAGTCAAAAGACAAGTAGCAAGACCGTGTGCAGCACCCCTCCTCGCCCCCTACGGACCCACCTCTGCAGCTGCGCCATGTCCCGCTCCTGCTGGTGCAGCCTCATCCTCAGCGATGTGATTTCCTGCCGGCAGAGCCTGTACCGCTCAGGGTCAATATTCCGGCTGTTTTTCTGGGCAGATTTCAGTTTCTCAATTTCTGCTTTCAACTCTAAGTATGTGCGAAACAGATGCATGATGACTAACACTGATGATCTTCCTGAGGCCCTAATCCTTCAAACTTCTATTTGATTTGAAATTCTTAAATCTTACTCAATATTCATAGATGTGACTTTTTTTGGGGGGCGGGTTGTTTTTTGTTTTATTTGGGGGCCATACTTTGGCAGTGCTCAGGGGTTATTCCTGACTCTGCCAGTCAGGAATTAGTCCTGGTGGTGCTCAGAGAACCTTATGGGATATGAGGGATCAAACCCAGGTCAGCCACTGGGAGTACACCCTGAGCATCACCAGGTGTAGTCCCATCCTCCACAATAAAAAAAATAATAATAATTAAAGGGCCATAGGGGTTTGGTTCCCCAGAAGCAAAGAGAAAACCATACAAATCAAAATTCCTTGTATATATTTTAATCTATCTTATGTGGAGAGAGAAAATAGGATTTGCCCAAACAGAAGTGAACTCAAGGTGAGTGAACCAAACCAGCATTGCTAGGTTGATAAATGCAAACGATGAAGGTGAAGGAAAGGTGAGAGCGGAAAAGTCAGTGACTGTCCCTCTTCCGTATCACCTGTTGCTCGGTTCCTACAGCGCTGTCTCCTGGACCAGAGAGAGCTGAGCAGGTTGGAGTCCACGCTGGGCATGCAGGGGGCCAGGTTTGATGCCTCATACCTCACGGTCTCTCTCGCACCACTGGGAATAACTCCAGGGCACTGAGCTGAGAGGAGTCCCAACACCACCAGCTGTGGCCCCCAATATAAAAAACAAACAAACAAACAAACAAAAAGCCCTCCTATCTGTACTTACCACTTGCCTTTTACCCATACTTTTCTTGTTCTGATATTCCCCCCTTTCACTCTTACTCTTTCCTGCTCTCTTTTCTATCGCTTCGTCCATCATCGTAGCTGGATGACTGGGTTCTATTATGAAAAATCTTTTATTTTTACAGGGGAAAATATCTGGCTTCCAGAAATCACCCATTTTCACAATCTGAGATCAGACTGGAGCGAGGTAAGTTTCCAGACTGTATTCACCTCTAATTAACTTGGCGTTCACGTCTTCGTTGACCTTGGCGACGTTGATGATCATACGGGCTTGGCTGGCGTATCTGAGAGTGCTCAGCGTTTCCTCAATGTTGCTGGCAGCGGGACTGATTGTAGCAATCATGGCAGTTTTTGAATTTCCACCCAGGCTTTCTTTTAACAGCCTTCAAGGCAAAAAAAAAAAAAGTGTCCTAGTTAGACATTGCTTCAACAACAATTACCTAGAAAGAAACAGCACAGCACTCATGTAGAAATCAAACCAAAGGTTTAAGTGTGCAGGTGCAGTACTACCTAGCAAATGCAGTGACGACCTGGGTGGTGGGGCTGGAGAGAGAATTCAACAGGCTAAGTGCAGGCTTCGCATGCTCGAGGCCCAAGTTCAATCCCTGGTACTGCATGGTCCCCTGAACACCAGGAGGAGTGACCCCCAAACACAGAGTCTGGAAGAGACCCTGAACCCCACTGGGTAGGGCACAAAGCCCAAAATAAATACAACATTTTTAAAAATAAAACATTGTTGGTATTCTTTTTTTTAATTAAAGCACTGTAAGTTACAAAGTTATTCATAGTTGGGTTTCTGACAGACAGTTTTCCATCACTGACCTCACCATCAGTATCAACTTCCCTCCACCCTGTTCTTAGGTTCTGAAAAATTATAACAATGTTCAGAACTCATGACCGCTATTTTCTCTCACATTTTTTCACACTGTTTCCTGAAACAACAATCTAGTCAGGGACTTTAGTCAGATATCAGTTCCTCTTACTAAACGAGGTATCTTGGTCACGTTTATAATCCAAGGGCTACCGCAACCCTTTGGAGCGAACACTTGAATGCTGAAAATGATGAATGAAAGAAAATATGCTTTTTTTTTAAATATCTGAAAACGCCCTGAAGGGAAAAAAGAGTATGACACTTTATTTATCTCTTTATCCCTCTTTATTCCTGCAGGATGAATTCCACTATTCTTAACTTTCAAAAGCCCAAAATCAGATTTCCCTGTAAGTTGTGCTGAGTAGCAATGATAGAATAATAAGTCAGCTATAATGACACAGAGTTGCTGGGCTAAGAGAGTGCCATGGGCTGGTGTGCATGCCTTAAATGCAGCATCTAGCTTCAGTTCCTCTTACATGGTCCCCTGAGCACCGCAGGAAAAAACCCCCAACCACTGCTGGATGTGAACCCCTAAATAAAAACAAAATGGAAAAAAAAACACAAAAGGACTGGAGCAATAGTACAGCAGCTAGGGTGTTTGCCTCGTGCACTGAGGACCCAGGTTTGATCCCTGACACCCCATATGGTCCCCAAATCCACTGGGAGTGAGTGATCTCTCAAGAGTAAGCACAGAGTGCACCCAGTGTACCTCCAAGACAAAACAAAAGACCGAAAACAAAAGAAAACAAGTAGCCCTAAGTAGAATTACCTACTCGAGCTTATACTCATAAGGACACAGAAGCAACATGAATATAATAGAAATGAAACAGTCATAACAAGAACACGTATTGAAATCCCATGTACTCTCAGTGAGTGCTAAGCAAACAAAATTATTCATTTTCATTTTACAACACAGCTGCTAAGGTTTGGGGATCCCATGTGTGTCCTAATAATAACTATAATAAGAGTTGCTTGCATTCAAATAGCACATACCATGCAGTGAGTTCACGTTAATCATAAGGACAAGTGCTTAAGGACAAGAACTCATATGGTCCCATTTCACAGATGAGAAGACTGGCGAGATCACTGTGACATGCCCAAAGTCAGAGTACTCAAATCCTGCAGAGCTGAGATTCAAATGTAGGTGCTCTGGCTCTAGAACCTGACTTCTAACCTCTTCTTCTCTGTCCCAAAGTTAAATAATGTGGCAGCATACACCAAAGTTAAATGCAATCAACTTCCAGCCCCCCAAGTCTGTTTTACAACATTCTTTATACGTGAAAGATACTTACCAGGTCAGAACAGATTCACGATAGGGGATAAAAACTCTCTTCCGGTTGGCTTGTTCGGAAAGCGCAGATATAACCTTTCCCAGTGTTAGCAAGGACCTGTTAATACTCACGCCTTCCTGTAGAAAGATTATTTTAAAGTTTTCATAATTTAAAACAACTGCTGAGCAATCAGCTGATTCCACAAAATATATGTCTCCTCATATCACTCTTAAGTAAACATTCCCATAAACCAGCGACTTTCTTATGATTCAGTATTTGCTCCATCTTTGGAGAAGTTCGATCATCAGTGTATTGAAAAGACAACCAAAGAGCCTAACACGCACCTTCAAGCGATCGCCACTAGTGTGCGCTGTGGAGCACCGCTCGCTGCCTGCCAGATCAATGAGGTTTATGCGGCTGGTTATCCTGTGATCATGTTCTTCCCCTTCCACAAGCTCTGTCTGTAATAGAGGGACACAAAATCCTTTAATGCCTGTCACTTGCCTGCCATCAATATAAGTCTTCAAAAGGAAAAGTTATGCAAGATACAAACCATTTATTTTTGAAACTGAATCTTTTGCAATCTATGATAAATGATGAAGCATCAATATTACAAATGCTGCAAGCAGGGCTTAGATATAGCCAACATTTAAAAAAAAATACTTGAGAGAAAACCTTATAACTACTCTTGATATCATCAAGGAAATAACCAGGGAGAAAAAGCTTAAAATACATCAATACTTTAAAGGCATGATTGATAAAAAAATAAATAAATAAAAAATAAAATAAAAAATGGTACTACAGTATAAAATGCAACACGACAACCCAAACAGTATAGAAAAACTTCAGGAACTCTTTACTCTCAGTGGCATATTACATAGCTGGAAAAAAGAAAAACAACATTTTGCAAAAAATCTTAATAGCGTGACATTTTAATATATTTTGTATATTTATTGAAGTATGATTATAAAACAGCAGAAAGACTATGCCAAAATGCTTACAGAAATTGGAACTATGGTTGAATTCACTTCAAGTATTGGTGAATTAACAAATCTCGAAACCCAGTGGATTTTGGCAGAAATGCATCCAGTCCCTGCAATAGGATACTGTTTCCAGGCCACCCCAGGGGGGAAAGGGTGCTGTCCCTCCACCTGCTTCCCCTTGGCAGCTCGGTGGCTGCCATCCACCAGAGGCCATTGGACAGTCAGGTTTGGGCCCACAGGGACGAGACATGCGGGGCCTCACAGGATGGGGGTGGAGCCGGCCCTTTCCTCTCCATCCCAAAAGACCCCAAGTCACCGCCCACAAATGGCCTCTCTGGCTCCTGATCAAGCCGCTTAATGGCCATCATCCCAGAGACTCAGAAACAAATCTCAGAACCCAGAAGCTTTTGGCAGAAATGCTTCTGGTCTCTGCAGTAGGTTACCGGCAATGGGCCACCCCAGGTGGGAATAGGTTTCATGCCTTGGCCTGTTCCCCCTGGTGGCCTGGTGGCTGCCATCTTCCAGAGGCCATTGGACAGTCAGGTTTGAGCCCACAGTGATGAGACACACGGGGCCTCGCAGTTTGGGGGTAGAGCCGGCCCCTTCCTCCCCATCCCAACAAGACCCTGAGTGGCCGCCCATGAACGGCCTCTCTGGCTCCTGATCAAGTTGCTTAATGGCCATGATCCCAGAGACTTAGGAACAAATCTCAGAACCCAGCAAGAAATCCCTCTAGATTTAATTGTTAAAATTTCGGAATTTCAAAATCGCACAGTCACTACTGCAGCCACGCAACACCATATGTTATTCATAACCAGCAATAGAAAACAAATTGTCTACTGTTGCCTTTTCCGCAGATCTGAGTGTTGGGGTAAAATCCCAAATAATAATGGTGGGTGTGGTGTCAAAATATTGAATGAAATCAAAGTAGAGAAAGAGTAATGTGGAAATCATCTGCCCCACAGGTAGGGGGAGGGTGTGGGATGGGGGTATACTGGGGTTTTTGGTGGTGGAGAATGGGAACTGGTGAAGGCATGGGTGTTTCATTGTATGACCAAGACTTAAACCCGAAAGCTTTGTAACTGCTCTCATGGTGATTCAATAGATAAAATTATAAAAAATGGGGGAAAAAAAGTAAGGTGGATTTCATGCCCAATTCAATCAGCCTAATCAGTAGCTGAATAAACAGTAGTACTCCTACATTAAAAAAAAATGACATATTTATTTTAGAACAATGAGGGAAAAGTCACATATACCATAACCTCCTGAAATTTAATTGTTTCTAGATGTTTGTATGACTGTATCTTTATCACTGATTTAAAGAATAAGAAAAAAATCGAGCCAGGGAGAGCTCAAAGGGCTTGAGCTCTGTCTCACGTGCCTCACACGTGGTCCCCAGCACACATGCCTCCCTGAACACTGCCCGGTGTGGTCCAAAAATAAAATAAAATAAATGAAGAACAAGAAAAATATGAGCCCTGCGCATCTCCCACCACGTTTCCTAAAGAATTACTCAGCAACCAGGACCTACCTTGGTCTGGGTCATCACCAGCATGAACACCGAGTGCGAACGGGAGCTTTTATCATTCATGCCCGTGGCGGCCGTTGCTCTTTGCTTGTTTCCCAATTCTAACCAACTCTACAAGCAGAGAAGAGAGTCGGGATCAAGGGAACTGACCGGAACAGCAGATGAAGCAGCAACAGGCAGGGGACGCGGCACAGCAGGTGGGTGCATGTGTGTTCCCAAACCCAGGTCAATCCCAGGTACCACATTCTCCCAATGCTGGGCCCCAGCACTGCTGGTTGTGGCCTGGTGGTGCTGCATTGCCAAGCCCTGAGCACCATGAAGGAGGTCTCCCCCACCCCACCCCCACTCCCCAAAAAGCAGCAAAGCTAAGTAATATACACATTTATAGTTTATAAAGTGAAAATAATCAACTTATCACTTAATAGTCTGTATTCCCTTGGAGTCAGAGTAACAGTACAACAGGTAGGTCATTTGCTTGCATGTGGATGACCTGGGTTCCATTCCCAGTACCCCGTATGGTGCCCTGAGCCCTGCCAGGAGTGATCCCTGAGTGCAGAGCCAGGAGTAAGTCCTGAGCACTGCTGGGTGTGGCCCAATAAAACAAAAGAAACCCAAAAAAGTTTGCATTCCCACTGTCTATTTTGTTTCTGTCACAGAAATGTAAAAGCAGGAAATAAAACCCTAGAAAGGTTTTTCTAGGAATATAATTTAGTGGCAGAGCATACACCTCCAAGCAGCAGAACTGGGGTTCAATATCCAGCAGCCCAAAAAAAGAATTCCCATCTACTATAGTAACTCTAAGCTGATATGATAGTCAATATTTATTTTCACTAAGTTTTTAACTTAAAACTTTACGATAAAAGTTAAGAAACAAAATCAATATATAACAAATTAACAAGATATAGCTTTTAATTCTGTAAAAAGCAATTAAGAATATTTATATGGATATTTATGATCGATCTAGTGAAAGACCAAATACAATCAATCTTACCTGGATATCGGCGTAAGAACTGACAACATTCCTATTTATTAAAAGGCAAAAGACAAAATAATGAGCTTACTAAGAATTATACTCTTGTCCTCATTTAAAACAAGAAAACCTTTCTATTAAATAATTTCTCCTAAAAATCACAATAAAAATTCATGGCTATTATTGTAACTGATTCTCACAAATTTTTTTTATTCTTAAATAAAACAATGCTAAATAAATAAATAAATAAATAAAACAATGCTTTCTTTTTACAAAACTCATGATTTTTTTACAACAAAGCACTGTAGAATCTCAACCTTCTCATATTCAGGTCTAACTCAGGAAGTCAAGAGATGTGATTTCATACACGTGTATATGCATGATATGTGAATTCGTGAATGTGAACATAAGGGTGTCAGCTTATAGGGGTCTCAACCAATCGCATGCCCCATAAATGGAGCTGAATTCATCCTTAGCCACTTTTGCCTTCCAGGAGAGCACTGTTTCTCTTTGTTTAGTTTCTATTTTTTCCATTGATGCTATTATGGAATTTTGAGGGTTTAATTTCACACTCCCATGTGTGAGACTGTCACCAAGAAGATGCTTCTCCTCATTCCTTCCACAAAAGCATTTTTCTTACTATACGGATGCCAGCACTGTTCTTTGTGTTCCCTAAACCACATTCGAGTGTGAGCCACTGGTGGGATGGAGCCAGTATAAATTCGACTCCCAGGACAGAGCAAACTCAACACTGACCTGTGTCCATCCCTTCTTCCCTCTTCAGTTTAAAGTCATAGAAATAAAAAACGGGGGGAGGGGGGAGTCACACACAGTAGCTGGGGCACTTGCCTTGCAAGCGACCCCACCCAAGTTCCATCCTGGCATCCCATATGGTCCCCTGAGCCCACTAGGGGTTCTCAGCAGAGAGCCAGGAGCAGGACCTGAGCATCACTGGGTGTGACCTCGAAACATCATCATCATCAACAACAACAACAAGAGAAACTTTAAAAGCAGGGAAGGCTCAACAGGGAAAGGAGAGAAACTACAGAGCTTTTTCATGCACATTATGAACATTCTCCTTGGGCGGCTTTGACTGGCTAACGCTAGGGCTAGAAGGTGACTGATTACGCGGGGAAACGGAGAGAGACCTGTGCTCTAGCCCCTTCTCGCCTCCTGAATCCTGTGGCGCCACTTACATCGACAGAGCCTCCACATAGGGCCCGGAAACAGGGTGCTCCCTCACTCGCAGCTGGGGAGACAAACATCAGAGCCATTAAGAAAACAGACAAAATTTCAAGACTATATATATATATTATTTTGTTTGGGAGCCACACCAGTGGTGCTCAAGGCCTACTCCTGGGCTCTGCGCTCAGGGATCACTCCCGGCAGGCTCAGGGGACCATACGGCATCAAACCCAGGCCAGCCGCATGCAGGGCAGGTGCTGTTTGCTGTACTAGCTCTCTGGCCCCTCAACAAATTGCCATCTTTTCCCTACTTATTTAGTGTAAGAGTTGCCCTTACTGTTCCCAGAAGTAGATATAATGGTCCTCATTAAAAAAAAAAAAAAAAAGAACTATGCTGGCATAAGGGCTGGAGCAATAGCACAACGGTAGGGCATTTGCCTTGCACACAGCCGGCCCGGCCAACCTGGGTTCTACTCCTCCGCCCCTCTTGGGGAGCCCGGCAAGTTACCGAGAGTATCTAGCCAGTACGGCAAAGCCTGGCAAGCTACCCGTGACGTATTCAATATGCCAAAACCAGTAACAACAAGTCTCACAATGGAGACGTTACTGGCCCACTCAAGCAAATCGATGAACAATGGGAGGACAGTGCTACAGTGCATGCTGACATAATAGCACAGTGGGTAGGGTTCTTGCCTTGTGGGCTGCAATCAGGGCTCGATCCCCAGCACCCCATATGGTGCTCCCAGTCCCACCAGGAGTGATGTCTGAGTGCAGAGCCTGGAGCAAGCAAGCCCTGAGCACTGCCAAATGTGGCCCCCAAACAAGCAAAAAATACTAATACCACCACAAAGTGATAATACATACACAATATGCAACAGCTCCCTGTCAGATCAACTATCTGACTAGCTTGGGTATTCGGGGTTTTTTTGGGGGGGAGGGTCACACCCAGTTGTGCTCTGGGCTTATTCCTGGTGGTGCCACAGATCAGACCTCGTCAGCCACATGCTCAGCAAACACCTTATACTATCACCCTAGTTGCTAGTTTTCACAAGTTGAATCCTACACTAGCTACTTAGCTATTTTAATCGGGCTAGGGGGGAAAATCAGATAAATTATCAGGCATTTAAAATTTTCTTCAACTTTACACTATTTGTATTTTCAACCTTGTGAGCAGAAACTTTTAAAGATACAAAAGTTGCGAGAGAAAATGCCAAGTTTTGTTGAAGTTCCTAACATTGTCCTCCAGCAAGCTGCATGACATGGGAAAGTCAAGAGAGCACTCTCAGAGTCATTTTCAAAATTAAATTGTTTCATCCTGGGGCCAGAGAGATAGTATAAGGATAGGGCGCTTGCTTTGCATATGGCAGACCACCAGCATCCTGTATGGTCCTCGAAGCACTGTCGGGAGTGATTCTGGAGCACAGAGCCAGGAGTAAGCCCTGAGAACTGCTAGTACTGCTTTAAACATCTCCCCCACCCACTGTAGACAACATTGGTTTGTCCTTTCTGCCTTGCCACTAAAAGCTTAGGTTTATTGGGTTACTTCCATCGCAGGGCTCCCATTCCTCTGTATTTGTAACCTCTTTCTTTGTGCTCTGCTTCCCCAACTGGCCAATCACCTTTATCTCCTAATCAGACTCTGTTAACTTGTAACTATTGCTTTTCTCTTCTCCTTAAGTCCTTTGCAGAGTTAATTCAGAGCAATGTCCTTTTTGTATAGACAACAGGAGGACAGTTAATGCCATGCTTTTGTAACTTGGGACTTAAATGACTCCGAATAATATTCACTCCTGGGCATCTGTTCTCTTGACTTAAGCCTCAGTTGCCCTTACTCCCTAGCACCCCCAAAGCAGGGTCCCAATGAGAGACTGGATAGACCTGGGGCAAGCTGTGAGCTACCCTGGCATTGAAATGGGCCAGGCCAATGTGCCATAATACATGGGGAGAACGGAATAAACGGCAACTGATCACCAACCAGCCTGGCCCTCTTTTCCTCCTTCATTCACCTTGGCACTGGCCATCCTGTGTGGGGAAGCAGCCCGAGACCACCAAACGCAGGCGGCGAGAGAAAGTCATGGGATTCTCAATTGTTTGGTGCTGACACTGCCAGGAGTAAGCCCTGAGAACTGCTGGTGCTGCCCTGAACATCTCCCCCACCCACGACCACGGCCAATATTTTTCCATTCTGATAGCAATTTTTTCCAAAGCTTGTGTATCTACAAAGTGCTCTACTCCACCAAAAACACCTACAAGAGAGGAACCAGTTTACTAAGTAAAACAGTAAAGTAAATATACTATACTAACAATAGAATTTTATTTTATGACATTTTAAAGTTATAGACTACTAAGGCTTTAGTGTTTGACTTAAATGATACACAAAATCTTGGAATAAATATTTTAGCTTCAAGTTCTCACAATAATTGGTGAAAATTAAGTGAGCTTGAATATCAGCCTATGTACTAAATAACAATTTAATTACACTGTAAATTCCAAGCATTTCTCATATAATCACATTTTAGTAAAAATTTAGACCATATATATCATGCTAAGGACTAACAGAATCCCACACATTTATAAAAACAGAAACTCAAAACAAGCAATAAACTGTTTTCATCTTACCGGTTGCTTTCTCTGCCCATTTTCACCTTTACAAACCAGGAGATCATGAATTTTCTCATTATATACTTCAAAGAAACTCATTTCAAGTTGATAGGTGGCCTGGCAGGAACAGAAGCACAGCATGCATGTATTTTGAAAGTCCTTGAGTTTTTTTTTTTTCTTTTTGCAAACCATGTATTTGATTCAAAATACATAAAGAACTCTTACAGTCATGGAGAAAAATTAAAACATGGCCAAAGAACTTCTGAACAGATACTTCTACAAAGACACACACACACACACACACACACACACACACACACACACACACACGACAAGCAGGTGGGAAGGGGCAAACCGAAGCCACAGCAAGAAACCACCTCACACCTCAGGGAAAAAGAAAAACAGCAAATGGCTCACCCGTGGGGTTGAGCAATAGCACAGCAGTAGGGCGTTTGCCTTGCACACAGCCAACATGGCCAACCTGAGTTCGATTCCTCCACCCCTCTCAGATAGCCCGACAAGCTACAGAGAGTATCTCGCCCGCACGGCAGAGCCTGGCAAGCTACCCGTGGTGTATTCGATATGCCAAACACAGTAACAACAAAAGTCTCCAATAGAGATGTTACTGGGCCCGCTCGAGCAAATCGATGAACACCGGGAGGACAGTGACAGTGACAGTGGCTCACCCGTGCGCCAATGCAGAGATACAGCAACGCTAGTGGGAAAGTAAAACTCTTGGTACTTTCACCTAAAAGTTCACCATTTGTTGCAGAGGCTCGGAGCTGCCTGCAGGTGCTACCCTCACGCCCTGGGCTGCAGCCTGGCAGTCCTGTCGTCTGAGCCTGGGGCTCTGCCACCTGCAGTCCCTGGCACCAAAAGCGACTTTTAGCTCCACTGCAGCGGGCTGTGTAGGAGCACAGGAAAGCGCACAACTCCCAGGGAACCCCACAACTAAGCACTCCTGCCAAGCACATCTGTAAGGACCAGGGCATCCACTCCCGGGCACCCCTGCCATCCTAAGTGCCTCATTGAGAGCCCTCGTGAGTGTGCGCACCCACGGTCCAACGTGCCACACTCCAAGGAGCACTGCATCGGGGCATGTCAGCGACCCCAGTGGAACTGGAACTGCAACAACAGTGCAGGGAAGGGGGTGGGAGAGAATCAAAGTGACATTTTATATCATGATAAAGGCCGAAGCATATGCACTGGTGCAGAGGGTTTGATTCCCGGCAATTTCATGGTCCTCCCCATCACCACCCAGGTGATCTCAACAGCCCCCGGCACTGATGGGTCTGAGCAGAAGCAGGAGTAGGTATCACCGGGACTGCTGCCAGACCCCCCTGAGCACTGCTCGGGAGACATTCCCCCAAAACAATTTTAGTAACAGTAGTAGTAATATTTTCTAGTAGCTAGACAGTTACACTAACCAAGTGCCCCCAGTGCCGTGTAATCCCATCAATGGCCAAGATCCTGAGACTATAAAACCAAGCTCTCAGAAGCTTGTCTAGTTCAAGTTATTGTCTAGTTCTCACTCTTGGAGAACCCAGCAGGCTACCGTGAGTATCCTGCCCGCATGGCAGAGTCTGGCAAGCTCCCCGTGGCGTATTCATATGCCAAAACCCAGTAACAAAGATGGGTCTCATTCCCCTAACCCTGAAAGAGCCTCCAATGTGGCACTTGCTAAAACCTCAGGGCTAGGATGAATGAAGACGTTACTGATGACTGGGGCTGGAGCGATAGCACAGCGGTAGGGCATTTGCCTTGCACGCAGCCAACATGGCCGACCCGAGTTCGATTCCTCTGCCCCTCTCAGAGAGCCCAGCAAGCTACCGAGAGTATCTCGCCTGCATGGCAGAGCCTGGCAAGCTACCAGTGACATACTCGATATGCCAAACACAGTAACAAGTCTCATGATGGAGATGTTACTGGGCCCGCTCGAGCAAATCGATGAACAACGGGAGGACCGTGACTGACTGTGACTGATGCCTGCTCGAGGAAATCAATGAACGGGATGACAGTGACACAGTGAGTCATAATAAAAAATGTAAATAGCAATTTCAGTTCTATCTACCCAAAAGAATTGTCAACCGGTGTATTCAAATAAAATTTCACAGATTAGGACTGCACCAGAGTGTGCAGTTGGTGGGGCACTCGCCTTGCACACATCAGTCAACCCCCAGAACTGCCTAGGGTTCCCCCAGCCACACCACAAGTAAGTACTGAGCAGAGTAGGAGTTCCTGAAAACTGCCAGGCATGACACCCCCAAAATAAACGTAAAATTCACACACCAATCCAGTGAAGCTGAACACTTGTAGCTACTATGAGAACGTACCTCTTGGCTTTGCTTTTTGGACACTTGAGCAAACAGATCTTCACAAAATCTTGGAATTATTCCTGGCTCTTCACTAAATCCCATCATCCTGGAAAATGCATTATGAATAAAGGAGAAGGGAATTTTTTTTTCCTTTTGTGGATAAACAGACTGAGAAGATGGGGGAACACATTAATTCTCATCATCAATAACTAAGAACCTGGGCCCTCTCACATCTGCCAGAGTTCAAACCTTCATCTGATTATTTATGGGTCCTATGATCTTGGACATGAAACTGAATATCAATGTCCATTTCTTCTTCTATAAAATGGGAATGCGTAAACCTATGTAACTCAAGAGGGTTATGGAAGTCTGAGCAGGTCATCACCATGGTATTTGGAATGGAATAAAATCTCAAAGTTACCTACTACTCTATTTCCTTTTATGGCAGGTGTTCTTAGAGATGGGCTTTTTTTGGTTTTTTGGCTTTTGGATCACACTCAGTAATGCTCAGGGGTTACTCCTGGCTCTGTACTCAAAAATCACTCCTGGCAGCGTTGGAGGAAGCATCTGGAATCCTGGGAATCAAACCTGGGTCAGCCACAGTAAGACCAGGTTCCTACCCACTGTACTATCGCTCCTATCTTTGAGATGCCTTATTTCCTTATTTTTAATCCTTACAACAGCATTTTCAAGATAACCTCTCGGGATTTCTGTTGACCCTAGAAATATAATCTACAATAAAAGGTCAATGGTGTGTGTCTGTGTGTGGTGTGTGTGTGTATGCATGCGTGCAATTTGGTAAAGCAGAATCTTGTACAAAATCAGAAGCTCATCACTTGCCCAAGTTTGCAAAAATTATATGTGAAATAAATGAGCTGTACTCTTTCCATAAACCACACTGCTTCTTCCAGAATATGACGGAAACATCCCCGGAGAGACATTTTGCAACCCACTTACGTATACGATTTTCCAGACCCAGTCTGACCATAAGCAAAGAGACAGGTATTGAAGCCTTCAAAGGCCCAATCCAGGAGTGGTGCTGCCAGCGTCTCATAGACAGTGCTCTGGCTGGCATAGCCAGGGTGACGTTCATCAAAGGACCAAAAAGAAACATCATAAACAAAATGATAAACTTGTTTCATGTCCGGGTGTTCCACTGTTATTTCTTCACCCTTCTGGAAGACTGCTTGGGATGCTTTTTCCATTTTCTCTCTTGAAAAAGAAGCACAGATAAAAAAAAATATATATATATATATATATATATATATCAAGTTATAATTATCTGGAGAATTATTTCCACAGAATTCAATAAGCACCATGAAACGATTTAAATATGACATTCCTCCAAACCAAGAAAATGTTTCTGTGGTAAATGAAAAATACAAACCAGCAAAAAGAAGTATAGAGAGTTTCCAAATATATTTTCTTATAACTCCATGTGACCACTCAAGGGAAAAGAGATATTTTCTCTCCCTCTCCCTCTCTCCCTCTCTTCTTGTCTCCCTTTCCCCTTCCCTTTCTCCCTCCCCCTCTCTTTCCCTCCCCCTCTCGCTTCCCTTCTTCCTCTCCCTCTCTGGGGTTTGAACCCAAGTTACCTGCCTATAAGGCATGTACTTGACCTCTCAATCACATTCCAATCCAAAAAAAAAAATTTTTTTTTGGCTTTTTGGGTCACACCCAGCAATGCTCAGGAGTTACTCCTGGTTCTGTACTCAGAAATTACTCCTGGCAGTGCTCGGGGGACCATATGGGATGCCAGGATCCAACCTGGGTCAGCCGCGTGCAAGACAAACGCCCTCCCTGCTGTACTATAGCCCCAGCCTTGCTCCAGATTTCTTTTTTTTTAATTTTTATTAGTGAGGCACCATGAGGTACAGTTGTAGACTTACATATTTTGTGCTTGGGTTTCAATTATACAATGATCAAATAACCATCCCTCCACCAGTGTCCATTTCCCACCACCACGGATCCCAGTATCCCTCCCACCCCCCATCCCCCCCAGCCCACCCTGCCTCTGTGGCAGGGCATTCCCCTCTGTTCTCGCTCCAGATTTCTTATCCAGAAAAGCTATGCTACTTTTTCTTTTGTTTTGTTTGTTTTGGTGACACACCAGATGATATTCGTCTTATTCCTGACTGTGTGCTCAGGGATCACTCCTGGAGGGCTTGGAGAATTATATGGGGTACCAGGGATTGAACCCTGGTCAGCCACATGCAAGGCAAGTACCCTTCCCATTGTACTATTTCTCCAACCCAAAATGATGCTACTTTTATAGACTTTTCCAGCATTTTCTTTTTCTCTCCATCACCCTTTTTTCCCATTGCACCTTCTGTAACCTACCTGTGCTATTCCAGTTTAAATCTGAAAAACTTGGGCCAGAGCAATAGTACAGTGGGTATAGAAGACTAAATAGTAAATTTCTTGGCTAGTTACTGTGTCACTCTTAATCCAAGGGGTCTTCCCTCCTCTAGATTATCTACCTTAAAATCATAGGTCTTACTTAGGATTAAGAGAAAATTGCCTGGTTCAATCTTTGGCACTGTATATGGTCCCCCAAGCATCAACAGGAGTGATCCCTGAACAGTGGTAGGAGTAAGCCCTAAGCACAGCTGCTGTGGTCCAAACACTCTCCCCATTACAAGAGAAGAGAGAGAAGAGAAAGGAGAAGAGGGAAGGGGAGGGGAGTGTTCCATCCCCAGCACACATATGGTCACCCGAGACCACCAGGTGTGATCTCTGAGCACAGAGCAAAAGAAAGCCCTGAACACCATCAGGTGTGGTCGTAAAAAAAAAAAAAAAAATTTAATTTAAAAATACAGGGCAGGGAGCGGGTGTGGTACCGCCAGCAAATCAATCTGTACCTGTGAAGCGAGTACATCAGCGGCCTGATGGTGCCTTCAGACTTGCAGATACCCCAAAAGTTATGCTGTGCCTTTGGCCAGACCCCAAAAACTTGGGGCAAAGTTTACCAAGAAAGTAAATGGCCAAAAGTTACGTACATGGGAAACAAACTCAACAAACTACCTCGGGCTCAGCTATATAATTGGAGGCATGGCCTCTCTGGTTCCTGATTTAACTGCTTAACGGCCATGATCCCAGAGACTCAGAAACAAATCTCGAAACCCAATGGCTTTTGGCAGAAATGTGTCCGGTCCCTGCAGTAGGTTACTGGTGCTGGGCCAACCCAGGTGGGAATAGGTTTCATGCCTTGGCCTGTTCCCCTTGGCAGCCCAGTGGCCGCCATCCTTCAGAGGCCACTGGACAGTCAGGTTTGGGGCCCCAGTGACAAGATACGCAGGGCCTCACGGGATGGGGTTGGAGCCTGATCCTATCCTCTCCACTACACGAGACCCCAAGTCATCGCCCACAAATGGCCTCTCTGTCTCCTGATCAAGCTGCTTCACAGCCATGACCCCAGAGACTCAGAAACAAATCTCGAAACCCAGCGGTTTTTGGCAGAAATGCGTCTGAACCCGGCAGTAGGTTACTGTCGCTGGGCCACCCCAGGGGGGAAAGAGTGCTGTCCCTCCACCTGCTTCCCCCTGGCGACTCGGTGGCCATCATCCTCCAGAGGCCATTAGACAGTCAGGTCTGGGCCCGCAATGACGAAACTTGTTGGGCCTCATAGGATGGGGGTAAAGCCGGTCCTGGTCTCCCCATCTTAACGAGACCCCAAGTCATCGCCCACGAACGGCCTCTGTCTCCTGATCAAGCTGCTTAATGGCCATGATCCCAGAGACTCAGGAGCAAATCACGAAACCCAGTGGCTTTTGGCAGAAATCCCTCCAAATTTCAGTGTTTAAATTTCAGAATTTCAAAATCACATGGCCCTACTGCAGCCACACAATATCATATGTTATTCATAACCAGCAATAGAACACAAATTGTCTACTGTTGCCTTTTCAGCAGATCTGAGTGTTGGAGTAAAATCTCAAATAATAATGGTGGGTTTGGTGTTGAAATATTGAATGTGATCAAAGTAGAGAGAGAATAATGTGAAAATCATCTGCCCACAGGTAAGGAGAGGGTGTGGGATGGGGGTATACTGGGATTTTTGGTGGTAGAGAATGGGCACTGGTGAAGGTACGGGTGTTTCATTGCATGACCGAGACTTAGACCCGAAAGCTTTGTAACTGCTCTCACAGTGATTCAATAAATAAAATTATAAAAAATGAAAAAATAAAAAATAAAGTGGAGTTCATGCACAATTCAATCGGCTAATCAGTGGCTGAATAAATAGCAAGTACTCCTACATAAAATAAATAAATAAATAAATAAAAATATAAGACAGGGAAGTACAGCAGGTAAGACATTTACCTCGCAAGAGGTTCAATCCCCAGCACTCCATATGGTCCCTGGAGCCCACCAAGAGTTATTTCTGAGTGCAGGGCCCAGGAATAACTCCTGAGCATTGCCAGGTCTGATCCCAAATCCAAAAAATAAATAATAAATAAAAGGTGTGACATACTTTGTGCTGAAGGGCCTGACACGGACAGCCACTGTTACTTGGCTGTTCTCCACCTTTAAAGGGTCTCTCTCTGCTGAGGATTTCTCAGCTGTGGTTTCCTCCTCCAAACCGAGTGTGAAGTCCTGGGTCCTTTCCCGTTTGTCTGCAGGAAGGGTGCTTCTTGGCTTTGTTCTGACTTGCAGGCCAGATATCCTGTTTCTCAGTATGGACACAGCTGGACTCTTGGACTTTGGGGTGCTGTGCTTTGGTGTCCACCTGTGCTCTGAGACGCATTTTCTAGGTGTTGTTTTTTCTAAGCCTCCAAATGTATCTACGTGTCTTGCCACATCCTTCCCAATGCTCCTGGGATGGACACTTCCCGTGCCTGCCACTCTGGCATCCCGCTTGCTCTCAGCATCTTTGGCTGCCTGGAGTCCAGATCCTGGGACCACACGGTTCTGACGCTGGGGTCCACTGGGCACCCTGTTATTTGCTGCAACATTTTCACTTGCCCCGCTGGGAACAGAAAACACTCCTTTGCATTTTTCATCTGCCGGCCTGTCTTTGCGGTCTTTGACTAAAGATCCAGAAGCCAGAACAAGAGAGTTTTTATCACCGGTCACGGTCTTCGTATTCGTACTCACCACCTTCTTTTCAGATTCACCTCCCACTCCCTGCACTGTCTTGGGCTTTGCCTCACGCTCTGTTTTAGTGTGACAGAATGGAAGCCGTGTTTCTGGGGCTGTGTCAGCAGAGTCTCCCGGCTTCTGATCCAGCAAAGAGGATTCTTTGCTCCTTGTAACCCGTCTCCGAAGTGTCAGTTTCCCTCCAGTGTCTGGGAGAAGTGAGGGACCTCCTGGTTTTTTACAGGCAGAAATAACATAAGTGCTATTGATGTCTCTGATTTTATTTGCTGACCTCAGTGACGGGTCGTCATTTTCATATTGTGACACATCCAACTTCAAATGCAGCTCAAGTCGGTTACTGTGGCTGAAGCCATTCAGGGATGGATTCTTCTGGGAAGAGGAAGGACCGAGGATGTTGCTGTCGTTTCTCTCCGTGTAAATGGACATAGTGGCAACAAGTTGTTTTTCCAAAAGAATGTGGGTGAACACTCAAGTACTTCTTTGGGTGTTCACTGAAATCACAGCCATTTATTATGGTGCCACTTTCCAAAAATATTTGCTAATTTACAAAAAAAAAAAAAAGAAAAAAATTATATTGCATAGGCTACCAATAGGTTTTGAAACTTAGAGAAAAATACAAACAAACAAAAAAAAACCTTCCCACTGTGAAAGTAAGTTCCCAGAAAACTATCTTAAATATTAGTTACACTCTCAACCAAAATAAATCGTTTCCACACAGATTAAGACAAGTCTCTGCTCTTAGAACTTAAGATCATCAACAAATATTACAACAAATATTGTGTCTAATGATAAAAAGGCCCCTTTATGTGCACATTAGGTATTTCAAAGACAAGACCCCTTTTTTATTCCCTCAGAAAGCCAATATAATGGATCAAATACACCAAGCAACTAAAAGATGTGAAATGAATGTCAGCAAAAATAAAGCAGGGGTGGGGGGGGTGGTCAGTGTCGGGACAGGGATCCACTCAGGTATAGACATCATGGAGTGCCCAGGATCAAACCCAGAGATTGCACCCTGGATTTCCACATTCCACATGCAAAGCATGCACTCCAGCTCTTTGGAGTTCAGTTCCTCTGCACTGTTTTTTCCCCCTGTTGGGTCACACCTGATAGAGCTCAGGACTTGCTCCTGGCTCTGTGCTCAGGGATTACTCCTGGTGGTGGTGTTTTGGGGATTCGACCCTTACTAGCTGCACTCAAGGCAAGCATCCTGCCTAGCCAAACCCAGCCCCCCACTTTTATAAAAGCACCCTCCAGCTTGAGAAGTAGGTAGAGGACCAAAAGAAACCCAAGCATCTAGGTCAACAATGGGACCCAAGTCTTTATAACAGTGAGTGGATGATAATGCCTCATGGAGACTTACTGGGTATCACAAGACAGCTGATTGCCCACCAAGAACCAGAGGCCAATCTAAATTAATTGCGTGGGCTGAGAAAAATGATGCAAGGAGTACACAGCCCATCCTCCAGCAATGAGACAACAAAGCCTAGGTCCGGGGATTCAGACCACCAACACCTGTATCTGCATTAAAGTTTGAAGGGGGCAGCAGTGGAACAGAGGCCAGACTCTAGCCCACAGCGCACTCAATTGGGTTGCATTTGTTGTCCTGACAATTGCGTGAGTGATGCTATCTTGCAAAGTGACGCTTGCTCAAACTACGTCCAAGGACTATTACTAAGAAACTGAATCACAGGAGTATTGTTATGTGTCTGTGTGTTTTAAGTAAATCTTTTGAAGTTCTAAATAAACAATACGATCGTTATGCAACTTTTCGAGAGTTTTAAGCTTCTCCCACAAACCACTAAACTGCAACTGTAGAATCTCCCTGGCAATGGAAATAAGTGTCACGGTCACAGAAAGATGCTGGAATTCTTCTACAGCTGAAAGCTGTTTGCATCAACAGAGTCAGGGGTGTCTGTTGGGGGAAAACCTCCCCGTCCGGTTTTAAGGGGAGAGAGGCTGGCATGAAGACGAGGGACACACGCCACCCGAAGCGAATCATCCCAAGCCACCGTGCCCCGGCCGCGACAGCTTATCGTACCTCTTCAAGCCCGCTCTGGGCGAAACTGCACCGGCTGCACGGTGGGGGCCCGGCGGCGCTGGAAGCCGGGGTCCGAGCCGGACGGGGAGTGGAGTCAGCGGTCGCTCAGAGACAAACAGCCCGCACGCCCCCCACAGCAAGCACCAGGACTGCGCCTCTCCTCTGGGATCCCTCCGAGGAAGGGCCCACGCCACGCACCGCAGCCGCCGGCGGCTCCCGCGGCGGCCGCGATTTGAACGGGAGCCCCGCCTTCTGATTGGCTGCTGAGGTTTGCGACCGAGCCGCACCCTCGCTTCCTCCCGCCCCCCGGAAGCGCCGGTGATTGGACTGCTGGGAATCTAAACAGACACGCGGCACCGCCCTCATCTCCTAGGCGACAGGTCCCGCCCTCCGCCCCGCCCTACTCAGTTAAGTAGCGCTTGAGTCTCTTTAAATTCTTGTGTTTGTGAACAGAAAATCGCTCGGACTGGTAGGCAGGACTTCGGAGCAATGCTTGCAAGGCCTCCCCACCCCAGATTTAAAAACCGAACAAAAACCAAACAAATACAAAATAAGAGTAAATCCGTCAGGAGGCATGGGATTCTGGACGGGATCTTTAAAACCCTGGCATGAATTTTAAGTGTGAAGATTCCCATTGATCCCCAATATAAAAGGAGCATGGTCTGTAACCAAAACATCAAAAACCTGGCATTGGAAAACTGATCGTTTTCCCACAAGTCCATCAGACAAAGAACATTTTCTGGTGCTTCTGTTGGAAAGCATGGGCATAGGATGTGTAGATTGAAAATGTTTTACAAGGAGATTCTTCCTTTAATCCTGAAAAATCTAATCTTCCCTTAATCCTGAAAAAAAACCACCTGATGAGGGTGGTATCTCCAGTTCAGAGATAACAGAAATGGCAGATACAATAAACTTGTGAAAGATTCAACCAAGTAGCAAGTGGTGTGATTAGAATTACAAAGCCAATGTCATGCGACTTAACCCAGTGCTGCTGTTGTTTGGAGTTTTTTGGTTCTGTTTTGTGTGTTTGGGATTACTGGATTGTTTGATTGGTAAGGTTTTGAATCTGGGCTGGGCCTGAGTAAATGGTGGTTTGGGGCAGTCCCTGCGGATCAGGATCACGGATGCCAGGATCCAGCTGGCCTCCTGCAGGCAAAGTGGCTCTCAGTCAGATTTTGAAACATGAGGTGCTAGATGTGAAAAAAATTCTTTTTGAAACATGAAAAAAGTAATGCCTTTTGCAGTGAGCGAATTGAACCCAAGGCTTCGCACCTTCAAGGCAAGAACACTAATGCCAGGCTATATTCTCACCCCTTACCCTGTATCTGCCAGAGGAGGTTACTTCTAGCACCACCCCACATGGACTGGGAGTCCCTGCACTGTGAGTAAGCCTGCAACTACAGGGGGCAACCCCAGAGAGGGATGACCCCAAATCATTGTCACAACAATAAAAATAATACTAATAATAGTACTAATAAGGGGAGGATGAGAGGGCAATAAAGAAAATAAAACATTAGAACACATTCAGAAAAAAAAAATCCCCATCAATGAGGAGGACTCTAGTCAGAGATTATAAATGAATGATTGGGGGGTGGGGTGGGGTTGGTTCACAACTGGTGGTACTCAGGGATATTCAGGGAGAGAGGAACAAAGAGTGAGTGGGGATGGGGGGCAGGGGGAGAGGGGAAGGAGTGGCAAGCATCTTACTTTCTGTTCTGTCTTTCCAGCCTTTAATAGCATTTTTTAGACAGCAAAGTGTATTGATAATGGAAATGTTTTCAATGGGAAAGTAAGGGAGACCAGCAACATAAAAAAAAAAAACAACTTAAAATACCTTCAAGTTCACTGCAAAGATTATCCTAGAGGCCAGAGAGATAGTACAGAGGGTAAGCGGTTGACTCAGGTTCAATTCCTCACACACACTATATATACATATACATATATATAGTCCCCTGAGCACCGATAGGAGGGATCCCTCAGCACCTAGTCAGAGGGCAGAGTCAGCTCCTTATCACACCATATGTGGCTAAATCCCTACCCAAATAAACAACAACAAAAAAATTTTTAATGAAGACCATTCTAAAATTTAATTAAAACAAAGTGACAAAGAAACCACTAGAAAGTAGAATTTAAGTTGGGAGTGGGAGAAAAATTGGAAAAGAAAATAGAATACAAGTGTTTCTATATGGAATATGATCAGTTTAGGAGCAAAAGAATATTGAGTAAGTAACTTCTAGAAACAGCTTTTATAAAGCATACATAATGACATATGAGAAGAACCATAAATATATTCATGCCCTTTGACCTAGTGAGTATACCACAAGTGTTCAACCATAAGAGAATTATTCAAATAATTGCAAGTGAGGGGGAAGTGACCTACTCTCTTTTGTTGTAATTTTTGTTTTTGTTCCTGGAGAGTTACTCTTGGCTCTGCACTCTGGAATCATTCCTGACAGTGCTCATTATCAATGTCTCATAAGAGGACCATATAAGATGCCAGGGATCAAATCCAGGTTGATATCAACCCTACCCACTGTGCTATCTCTATAGCCTCCCACAAATGACATATTCTGAACCTGGAGAGATAATACATCAAGTAGTGTACTTGCCTTGTACACAGTCAACTCAGGTTCAATGCCCAGCCCCCCAAGAACCGCCAGGCATAATTCATCAATGTGGAGCCAGGAGTAACCCTGAGCATTACCTGGTATGGCCCCCAAATTAGAAGGATAAAGAAAAAACTTAAAGCACTAATTCTTCTTTTGTTTTGTTTTGTGGGTCACACCCAGCAGTGCTCTGCACTCAGAGCTTATTCCTGGGGTTCAGGGGACCACAGGGCGTGCCTGCCGGGTTGAACCCAGGTTGACCTCTTGCAGGGCAAGTGTCTTTGATGACCTACTAGCTCTCTGGCTCAAAAAAAGAAAATTTTGCACAACTATTAAGTACCCACTGTCACTGTCCTCCCGTTGTTCATCAATTTTGCTCGAGCAGGTCCAGTAACATTGTGAGACTTGTTACTGTGTTTGGCATATCGAATACGTCCTGGGTAGCTTGTCGTAAGGGTGAGATACTCTGGGTAGCTTGCCAGGCTCTCCGAGAGGGGCGGAGGAATTGGACTCGAGTTGGCCATGTTGGCTGCGTGCAAGGCAAACGCCCTACCCGCTGTGCTATCACTCCAGCCCACTAAGTACCCATTACATTTATAATTACATAGTCCAGAAAAGTAGCTCAGCAAGTTGAGCACATGATTCGCAAGCAGAAGACCCAGGTTATGGCCTGATCTCCAGAAGCTACCCGCCAAGCACAGAGCTGGGAATAGTCCCCAGTACCACTAGGTGCGGCCCAAAACCTAAAATAAATTAATAAAGTTAAAATTATGAATTAA